GGCTCTTGGCAACAACAGGGAGACTATCTGTCTCAAACAAAAAAAAAAAAAAAAAAAAAAAAAGCATGAGCAATTTGACACGTACAACAACATAGATTAAAAATACCACTTCATGCAAATGCAGCCAGCCATAAAAGGACATGTGTCATATGAGTGTATTTGCACCAAATGCTAAGCAGGCAGATCAGCGGTTGCCGGGCATGAGGGAACTTCATGGGGTGAGGGACCTGTGTATCTTGTTTGGGGTGGTGGTCATGTGTGTATACACTGTGTTCAAAGCTCAGCAAACTGTATACCTAAAATGGGTGCATTTTATTGGATGTAAATTATACCTCCGATGAAGTTGATTTAAAAAGTTCTCAAAAGTGGAACAATTTCTTCCAAATTGAAGGAAAATTATTTCCGCTTATATTTCCCTACAACCAAACTATCAACTACAAAAATGGAAAAGAATAATTTTAAGACTTGTAAATTTCAAATTTTACGTCCCGCGTTCTTTTGTTTCAGGAAGCTATAAGTGGTAAATAGTTCCATGGTCATAGGATTTAGAAACGTTGGAGGTAAAGGCGGGGCAGGGTGGCTCACGCCTGTAATCCCAGCACTCTGGGAGGCCAAGGTGGGAGCAGCCTGAGCAAGATGGAGACCCCGTCTCTACTAAAAACAAACAAAAATTAGCCAGGCATGGTGGCATGAGCCTGGAGTCCCAGTTACTTGGGAGGCCAAGGCAGGAGGATCCCCTGAGCCCAGGAATTTGAGGTTTATGGCTGCAGTGAGCTGTGGTGACACCACTGCACTCTAGTGTGTGTGTGGCGGGGAGAACAGAGGTAGACTCTGTCTCAAAAAAAAACCAAAGAAACGCAGTGATCTCCTGGTGCTCCTTCCAGCGGGGTTCATTTCGGCCTCCTGTGGGAAGAGGGTGCTTAGTGGGAAGAGGTCACCGGGAGGCCGGGTGACTCTGAGGGTCTACGGGAGCAAGGGGGGGTGAGCAGGGAGGAGCAGACGGTCGGCCCTCCTCCTGGAGCCGGGCTTGCAGAGGCTGGGGCTGTGTCCGGCATTGCCTGCGGGGCGGGCGCGGGCCGTATATGACAAGACACAGGCGAGGGGCAAGCGGGCGGGTGAGGGGCAGGGGAGCCATCAGATTTCCTGCTGCTGCTTTCCAGGAAAACCAAACTGCCGCCTGCTCCGTCCCTCGATCTTGCTCCTGATGGCGCTGGTCCTCGTCCTCCTTGGGTAAGAGACGCCTGACCGTCACTCACGCTCCGCCTGGGCAGCGGGCTCGTGTCCCCCACCCTGCACAGATGAGGGACCTGGGGCTGGGAGGGCGAGTCACTCGCCACCCCTGCGTGGCCGGGAGAGGGGCGGGCCAGCCCGGGCCCTGAGCTGTGGGCCCCCAGAGGCAGCAGGTCCTAAACCAGAGGGGGTCACGGGCCAGCTCTGCGGGGTGTCCGTGGACACGGCCAGGGGACAGTCCCTGGGGGGCTGGGGGCTGCACTGGCTGCACACAGGGCTCCTCGGCAGCTGCCGCAGGTGCTCGCATGCAGAGCACTGTCGCCACGGAGCCCCTCCTGGCTGGGGCGTGTGAGTGTCCTGGGCTGTGCAGAGGAGGTGCTGGCCGTGCGGAGGGAGGGAGGGACAGCGGGCTCGCTGCTGTGTCCTCAGTGGCTGCCTGGGGCGCACTCCCTTCCGCCAGCTACGGGATCCTGAGCCCCGGAGGAGGCCGCATGCTGGGGAGCCTGGGAGCCGGGTGAGTAGGGCCGAAGGAGGGGAGGGGCCCTCTGTGCTGGCATCGGGTGGGGTAGCGGCTCTGGGGGCTTCTGCCCGTCCCAGGCCTCAGGTCCGGGCCACACTGGCTGTGCCCAGGCCCGCCCGCTCCACCTGTCAGCAGGTTCCAGGTCCCTGGGCTGCGTCTGTCCCACCTGCCCTGGTCCGGCCGCCCTCCTCTCCACCTGCCCCACCCCCACTCACTTCACACGAGGTAGAATGATCTTTCCGGAACATACCTTTGGACACCCTCCGTGGTCTGGTCCTCCGTGGTCTGGTCCTCCGTGGTCTGGTCCCCACGCCCCCTCGCCAGAGGCAGACTCCAGCCTCCGCGGGTCCCTGCCCTCTGCTGGGACAACTCCTGTCAGTCCCACGTGTCAGAACATGGTCTCCCCATCGTGATGGGGGCGTCACCACACTTGCCACTGTCCCTCCCTGGGGTGCGGCCTCCTGTCTTCGCTGACTGGGCGCAGCTGGGCATTTCTCCCTGGGCCTCCGGCAGTCTCAGGTAGACGGCGGCTGGAGTTGAGTCACCACGCAGACCCCACGTTTCTGGCGGTGCGTGCTGGTTCTCCACCGAGACACCCACCCGGGCTCTGCATGTGGCCTGGACTTCTGCTCGCTCCGCTGGCACTTTCAAGACCAGCGACCCAGGAGAGACGGGACGGGAGTCGCATTGCCTTAGAGAACCTGGATTCAGAAGTCTCCCATCAGCACTTGTGCCACGTTCTATTTCTTAGAAGGATCGAAAATCAGAACCCACCTCTTTTTCTTTTTTTTTTTGAGACAGAGTCTCATTTTGTTGCTAAGCTAGAGTAAGTGCCGTGGCGTCAGCCTCGATCACAGCAACCTCCCACTCCTGGGTTCAAGCGATCCTCCTGCCTCAGCCTCCCAGGTAGCTGGGACTACAAGCATGCGCCACCATGCCCGGCTAATTTTTTCTATATATACTAGTTGGCCAATTAATTTCTTTTTATTTATAGTAGAGACAGGGTCTCGCTCTTGCTCAGGCAGTTTACGAACTTCTGACCTCGAGCAATCTGCCCGCCTCCGCCTCCCAGAGTGCTAGGATGACAGGCGTGAGCCACTGTGCCCAGCCCAGAACCTACCTCTTGATAGGAGGCGGCCTCAGGATTTGCACACGTGTTCTGGGACCTCCACGCTGCCCAGGCTCAGCTGCGGGCAGACCGTGGCCTGCAGCGTCTGACGGTGCAGCCCTGGCCAGCGCCCCCGGGACAGCTCGCTGTACCTGTCACAGGCGGGTCCCCTCCACACCTCAGGCCACCACTGCGCACCTGTCCCTTCTGCCAGGACCCCCACCTGTGTCCTGAATTCTGCCCCTGGAATAAACCCCATCTCCTGTGTTCTCATCCCATAGCACGGCTGTCAGAGAACCCGACAGGCTGCAAGTGGTCACGCTGTCCAGGTACAGTGTCTTCGCTGGTGTCTGTGCGCGTGTGGGCGGGGGTGCGTGGGGGCCGGCACGCGTCCTCTTTCCCCCCACGGAGAATGGCTGCTCCTTTCCCAGTCTCCGCTCTGACTTTTTTTCAGTGGCGTTAAGCACATCATGTTCTGCAACCATCACCACCCGTCCATCTCCAGAACTTTCCATCTTACGAAATGGAACTCCGTCCCCATGAAACACCAACTCCTCTACCCCCTCCCCCACCCCTACCCCTCCCCCTGCCCCTGGCACCTGCTGTTCTGTGGGCTGGTGCCCAGTGTGGCTGCGCTGGCTGCCTGGTGCCCGTGGGATTGCACAGTCTAGTGACCGACTGCAGGCACTGATCTTAGCGTGCTCACAGCTCGTCCATGTGTAGCCTGTGTCAGAATGTCCTTCCTTTTTAACCACTTTGGTACCAGCGTCGACTGTAGTCGACAGCCACAGGTGAACGCCCACGTCAACTTTAGCGACAGCCGTGCTTGGCGCCACCGCTGGGGCCGGCCCTGTGACAGCAGAGAGGCGGGGTTGCCCTCCCGCTTCCCGGACGGGAAGGCTGGGCCCTGCGGTCACCAGCCGTGGGGGCAGAGCAGCTGCAGGCTCAGGTGGACGGTCCCTGAGGGCTTTCCCTGGGAGGGACGGGGACAGCGCCCACGCCCCGCCTCCTCTCCCCGTCAGTGAGTTAAAACATGACCGACCGGGAGGCCGTCCCCAGCCTGGAGCCCAGTGGAGGGCCGTGCGCCCGAGGTCACTGGGCTCCCTGGCGGTTTGCAAGTCCCCGGGGAGGACGGACGGGGGCTGACACAGGGCTGGGGCCCACGGGACCTTCACCAAACCCACGCCCGCGTTCTGTGCTCGCAGGAAGGCCTACCCGCAGCCGAAGGCGCTGACGCCCCCGTGAGTGAACTTCCTGACGCTGGGGACGACGCTCACAGCCGTGTCCTCGGTCTCGGTCCCCGTCCAGCTCGCTCTGCTGGGCCTTTGCTCTGAGGTTTCTGGGTCTGGCCTGGGAGGCCCCCACGGCACTGCCTCTCCTGTCCTGCCCCTTGACCCGCGAGCCTCCCTTCTCGCCTTGTGGCCCAGCGGGGTCTATTGTCCGGGAAAAGGCTGGACATGACCAGCCCGGCTGCCGGCTGGACCTGTTTCCCAGCAAATAGTGCCAGTCCTTCTCGCAGGGGTGTCGGAGGCCCTGGGTGGGGTGGCCGAGCGCCAGGGTCAGCATGGGTGGCCCCTGTCTCTCCCTGTGCAGTCGGACAGACGTCCTGGTCCTGACCCCCTGGCTGGCTCCCATCGTCTGGGAGGGGACGTTCAACAGTGACATCCTCAATGTGCAGTTCCAGCTCCAGAACACCACCGTTGGATTAACTGTGTTTGCCATCAAAAAGTAAGTAGGCGAGCGCTCGGGCCGCCAGAGTCCGTCCCTGTGTTCAGGAGAGAAAGGGGCGCCAGCCTCGCCCGCCCGCAGGGTAGACAGTAAAGGTCCTCGGCTGGGCATCCTACTGAGCTCTCCCCGGCTCACCGGGTGACCAAGCCCTTCCCTGGAGCTGCTGTCGCCGCCGCTGGCACCTCTAGCGCTGTGCGCCCCTGTGTACCTGTGGCCACCCCCAGCTGGGCAGGCAGCAGCCACGCCCCACTCCATACCTGGCTCCAGGTGGGTCCCTTTCACTGAGCAGCGATGGCAGGAGGGGGACACCTGTGTGCTCTCCTTGACCCTATGGCCACAGGATGCTGGCAGAGCTGTGGCCTCACCTTTGTGCTCACATGCGGGGTGGGGGGCAGGGGAGGCAGAGCACCTGCCCCCAGACCCCCGGAGAGGTAGCTGACCGTGAGCCTGGGGACTCTGGGTCAGGCCGCCTCACAGGTAGCTGGCAGGGCAGCCACGGGTGCGCAGCCTGACTCTCGGAGCTGTGGGGAGCCAGGCCAGAGACATGGCTGCCCCGGGGACTGCTCTGGGGTGCGGAGGGAAGCCGAGCTTGCAGGTGGAAGGGGCCGCGTCCTTCCCCCCCAGGCTCTGCCTCCTGGGCCTTGGCAGCCCCGGCGACTGGTTCCCATTCGGGAGAGGAGAGCACCTGACTTGCCGGACCGGGAAGGGCCAGGGGGCAGCCCAGGAATTCCTATTCCAGTTCCTAGGGACAAAGGGCTGGAGAGCCCCAGGGGGCTCCGTCAGGACACCATCTCGCCATTGCATCTGGCCGTCTGTCTCCCCTCTGGGCCCCCAGCTGGTCCCCACGTCCCCAGCACCCTAGGAGAGAAGCAGCCCTGCCCAGTCGAGCCTCGAGCCGGCAGCCACATCCTCAGTGGCCACGACTGGGCTCACACCCATCATGCCCAGAGCTGGCGCTGAGTTCTCTCAGCCACTCTGCATCTGTGCCCCGAAGGCCACGGTGCCTGCACTGCCGTGGGGACGGATGTGCAGGGAGCTAGGCGGGGATAAGCAGCCACGGTGCCTGGGCTAGACTCTCTGCTGTTGGGGGGCACAGCACCCTTGCGGGACGGTGGGGGAGCCCCTGTCCCCATGGTGGAGGGCACACGGCCCTGGGAGGCCCCAAGGAGGGCCCAGCCATGGAGGCAGTTGGAGAAACTTCCTGAGGTCAGAGGAGACGCCTGCCCTGGGCCCAGAAGCTTTGACCCTTGGTTGGATTCAAGTTCTGAGGCCTGCACTGCCCGCCCTCCCCTCCCCTTCTCCTTTCTGGGGTCCCCACTGTGCCAGATCTGGTCCTGAGCCATGGAAGGGTCAGCAGTGACCCCCGACTTAAGACTATGAACACTTTACTAGGCACCTGCCGGCAAAGCACCTGAGGCCTCCCAGAGGAAGGTCCAGGGTGTAGAGACAGGTGTCGGGGCCGCGAGAGCCACTTACAGTGAGGGGGCAGGAGGCCGGGCCTGGCTGGGTCCAACCAGCTCTGCCCAGCGTCCCAAGGGAGCTGTGTGCCCAGGGGTTGTTCAGCGGGGGAGGATGGCGGGGGTGGGCCTTTGCCCCAGGAGGGGGCACATGCAGGGGGTCGCCCCCAGCCCAGCTCCAGCTCTGCTGCCTGCGGATCCCAGCGAGGTTCCAGGCTCCCAAGGCGCGGCTCTCCCGCCTCAGACGGGTGCGGGGTCCCTCGGGGGTCCCTCCGTCCCTGGGAGTAGAGGAGCAGGACGCGGGCGCGGGGCGCTGTGCACCTGCCGCTCTGGACCGGGCAGCAGAGACGCCGGGGGCGGGGCCTGGCCGGTGCGGGCGGCCTCCCCCAGCCCCGCCCCCGCCCGCCTCGCCCCGCAGGTACGTGGTCTTCCTGAAGCTGTTCCTGGAGACGGCGGAGAAGCACTTCATGGCGGGGCACCGCGTCATCTACTACGTGTTCACCGACCGGCCGGACGCGGTGCCGCGCGTGGCGCTCGGGCCGGGCCGGCGGCTGCAGGTGCTGCGCGCGCGGCCCTTCGCGCGCTGGCAGGACGTGTCCATGCAGCGCATGCAGATGCTCAGCGAGGCCGCTGAGCAGGGCTTCCTGCGCGAGGTGGACTACCTGGTGTGCGCCGACGTGGACATGCAGTTCCACGACCACGTGGGCGTGGAGATCCTGTCGCCGCTCTTCGGCACCCTGCACCCCGGCTTCTACGGGCGTCCCCGCGAAGCCTTCACCTACGAGCGCCGGCCGCAGTCCCAGGCCCACATCCCCTGGGACGAGGGCGACTTTTACTACTCGGGCGCCTTCTTCGGGGGGTCGGTGCCCGAGGTGCAGCGGCTCACCAAGGCCTGCCACCAGGCCATGCTGGCCGACCGCGCCAACGGCATCGAGGCGGTGTGGCAGGACGAGAGCCACCTGAACAAGTACCTGCTGTACCACAAGCCCACCAAGGTGCTGTCCCCCGAGTACATGTGGGACCAGCAGCTGCTGGGCTGGCCCTCGGTCCTGCGGAAGCTGAGGTTCGTGGCGGTGTCCAAGAACCACCCGGAGATCCGGAAGTCTGAATCTGGGGGCCAGCCTGCCGGCTCTCGGGAGGGCTCCCCGGAGGGCGCAGGACGGGCTGGCCGGGCCGTGGGAAACTAGAACAGGTTTCAGGGGAAAGGATCCAACTCTGCTCCCTTTTTCTTTCCTGCTGGGAGAAATCGCTGAAGCCTAACCCCCAGCCCACCCTCCAATTCAGGCCGACAAGACATAGCACCACACCCCAGAGACCACAGACACAGGCAGATACAGGCACAGACACGCACGCACACACACACACACACACACTCACTCACTCACTCACTCTTAAGCTGCCCCAGTTCAGGGCCTTGGGCTTCAGTTCCCTGCAGGTCCTGCGTGTCCCAAGGCAACCCCAGCTCGGATGGGGCCAGGGGTCTCAGCCCCTCCCGACAGAGGCAGAAGTCTCCTCCAGAGTCAGGAAGGAGCCCCCAGGACACACAGTCTCGGGGGGCCTGCGTTCCAAGATGCCGGGGCACGTCTTGAGCTTTAGGCTTTGGGCAAAATACCTTCACCTTCTTGAAGGCTCCCATCCGTACCCTACCAGCCACCTGCTCCCCTCAGGGTTCCCCTAGCCTGGCTCAGCTCAGGACGGCCTCGAGCCTGACCCCTGGTGTTCCAGCCAGACACCCTGGTCCTCCGTGACTCCCCTGCAAGGCCCATCGGAAAGCTGCCCGCAAGCGCTGCCCGCTGTGCCTGCCCAGACGTTCTTGATCAGCCTCATTTCTACCAGCCTGGCCCAGGCCAGCGCCGGTTTTGCCCGGACGGTGGGACCAGCCTCCCCTGGTCGCCCTGCTTGCATGCTGGGCCCCCCAGTCCATGCATCCTCTTCAGCGGGAGGGGTCCTGTGAATGCCCCTCTGCTGGGATCCCTGTGGGGGACCCCAGGCCCCCTGGAGGAAAAGTGTTTCCAGTGGCCCCTCCCACTTCCAGTCCTCATTCCCCCTCAGGGATGGACCGTGGTTGGACGGGGCTGAAAGCTCAGACTCTAGGGGCTCTTTAAGGGAAAGAATAAAACATTAGCTATAATCCTAGCACTTTGGGAGGCGGAGCAAGAGCAAGACCCTTGTGTGGATCCCTGTAACCACCCTGCAATCAGGTTCAGGCTGTCCCTGCACAGAAGCCTCCCGAGCTGCTCCAGGTGTCATCACACCGCCCTCCCGCCCCACATCTGTCCCTCTCTGGCTTTGCCCTTTTGAGAATGTTAGATAAGGCTGGGCACGGTAGCTCACACCTGTAATCCCAGCACTCTGGGAGGCCAAGGCAGGAGGATTGCTTGAGCTCAGGAGTTCGAGACTAGCCCGAGCAAGAGTGAGACCCCCATCTCTACTAAAAATAGAAAGAAATTAACCAAACAACTAAAAATAGAAAAAAATCAGCCTAGCTCACAGCAACCTCAATCTCCTGGGCTCAAGTGATCCTCCTGCCTCAGCCTCCCAAGTAACTTGGACTACAAGCATGCACCACCATGCCTGGCTAGTTTTTTGTATATATATTTTTAGTTGGTCAATTAATTTCTTTCTATTTTTAGTAGAGATGGTTTCGAACTCCTGACCTTGAGCAACCAACCATGGTGGTGCATGCCTGTAGTCCCAGCTACCCAGGAGGCTGAGGAAGGAGAATCTTGCTTGAGCCCAGGAGTTTGAGGTTGCTGTGAGCTAGGCTGACGCTACGGCACTCTAGCCTGGGCAACAGAGTGAGACTCTTGGCACCCCCCCCCCAAAAAAAATGTTATATAAATGGGGTCATGCAGTATGTGGACTCCTGCAATTGTGTGCATCAATACTTAATTCCTTCACATCACTGACCAGTGTTCCATGGTCTGCATGTGCCAGTTTGTTGACCGTTCAACTGTTAAAGGACACTGTCTACTGGTACAACTTCTACCCAGTGTTGTATTGGCAGTTTTAGTCTGGACGATAATGCAAGTAAAACAAAACACATCCAGACTGGGAAGGAAGAAATTTGCAGATGACATGATGTTATATATGGAAAACTCTAACTAATCCAGGAAGAATACCGTTTTCCAGGTCACATGAGTTAAGCAAAGTGAAACCAATCCAAATATCCATCCACTCATGAATAGATCAACAAAATGTGGTTTATCTATACAGTGAAATGTTTTGGGTTTTTTTTTTTTTGGAGACAGAGTCTCACTTTGTTGCCCAGGCTAGAGTGAGTGCCGTGGCATCAGCCTAGCTCACAGCAACCTCAATCTCCTGGGCTCAAGTGATCCTCCTGCCTCAACCTCCCGAGTAGCTGGGACTACAGGCATGCGCCACCATGCTCGGCTAATTTTTTGTATATATTTTTATTTGGTCAATTAATTTATTTCTAATTTTTAGTAGAGGGTCTCCCTCAGGCTGATTTTGAACTCCTGACCTCGAGCAATCCACCAGCCTCAGCCTCCCAGAGTGCTAGGATTACAGGCGTGAGCCACCTCGCCCAGCCTGGCCCAGCCATGAAATGTTGTTTAATCATAAAAGAAATGAGGCCAGGCACAGTGGCTCACACCTATAATCCCAAGATGTTGAGAGGCCAACACAGGAGGATCACTTGAAGCCAGGAGCTTATGACCAGCCTGGGCAACATAGTGAGACCCCATCTCTACAAAAAATAAGAAAAATTAGTGGGGCGCGGTGACTCACGCCTATAGTCTCAGCTACTCCAGAGGGTGAGGTGGGAGGGTTGCTTGAGCCCAAGAGTCAAAGGTAACAGTGAGCTATGATGACACCACTGCACTCCAGCCTGGGTGACAGAGCAAGACCCTGTCTCAAAAAAAAAAAAGAAAAGAAAAGAAAGAAAATGAGATGAGATATTGATACATGCTATAATGTGAATGAAACTTGGAAACATTATGCTAAGTGAAAAGAACCAGACACAAAGGCATCTATTGTATGATTCCACTTCTGGGAAATGTCCAGAGCCGGCAAATCCAGAGACAGAGGGCATATTTGTTGTTGCCCGGGGCTGGGCTTGGGGGCGCTGGGAGTGACTGCCTATGGGTCAGGGTTTCTTCTCCCTGATGGAGATGTTCTGGGACAGATGGTGGTGGTGGTGGTGGTTGTGTCAAACTGTGAGTATACTAAAAGCGACATCGACTTGCTGTTGGTAGAAAAAAAAAAAAAAAAAAGCGACATAGTTGTACACTTGATAATGGTTACACTGGTAAATTTATATTATGTGAATTTTATTTCTTTGAAAAATATAAGTGAACAATCAAGTCAAGTGATTCCTGTAACTTTATTATTTTTTTTCAAAATTGTTTTAGCCAGTCTAACTCCTTTGCCTTTCTGTGTAAATTTAAGAATGAGCTTGTTTATGTTGACATAAAATCTTGCTGGGATCCTGATAGGAATCGAGTTAAACCTCTAGATCAGTCTGGGGAGAACTGACATCAATGCGGGTGAGTCTTCCAGTCCGTGAACATGGTCCTCGCCTCCATTCATTTGGAGCTTTGGTTTTTTTAATAAGCATTTTGTAGTTTTAGCATACAAACCCTGTACGTTTTATTAGATTTATTCCTGTCTTTCATTTTCAAAAGCAATTATAAATGATATTGCATTTTTATTTTTATTTATTTATTTTTAATTTTTTTGTTATCTTTTTTACTTTATTTTCTTTGGTGGCAAAAACAATTCAAAGTGGGGAAGATGCATTTTTAATTTGGTATCCACATGTTCATTTTTATTATATAGAAAATACAAGCCGAGTGTGGTGGCTCACGCCTTGTAATCCTAGCACTCTGGGAGGCCAAGGAGAGCGGATCGCTCAAGGTCAGGAGTGCTAAACCAGCCTGAGCAAGAGCGAGACCCCCGTCTCTACTAAAAATAGAAAGAAATTAATTGGCCAACTAAAAATATATATAGAAAAAATTAGCCGGGCATGGTGGTGCACGCCTGTAGTCCCAGCTACTCGTGAGGCTGAAGGATTGCTTGAGTTCAGGAGTTTGAGGTTGCTGTGAGCTAGCCTGGGCAAGAGAGCGAGACTCAGTCTCAAAAAAAAAAAAAAAAAAAGAAAGAAAATATAATTTTTATGTTGATCTTAGGAAAATAAATAATTCAAAAATCTAAGCTGTTGGAATTCTAAATTATTTTAAGCCCTAAAGAAACGTGATTACAGGGCCAGGCATGGTGACATATGCCTGTAATCTCAATACCTGGAGAGTCCAAGGTGGGATGACTGCTTGAGGTCAGGAGTTTGAGACCAACCTGGACAGCACAGCGAGACCCTATCTCTACCAAAAATTTAAAAATTAGCCAGGCGCAGTGGAGCATGCTTGTGGTCCTGGCTACTCCAGAGGCTGAGGCAGCAAGATGGCTTCAGTCCAGGAGTTCCAGGCTGGCTGCAGTGAGCTGTCATTGTGCCACGCCCCCAGCTTGAGCAACAGAGTGAGGCCCTGTTTCAAAAAAAAAGAAAAGAAAGAAAGAAAAGAAAAGAAAAGAAAAGAAAAGAGAAGAGAAATGTGAGCCTGAGTAATGTGACAGGCAGCTGTAACCTTTGTTTCTTTTTTTGTTCTTTCTCTCTGTGTGCCTGTGAAATGCTGAAACTTCCAACTTCCCCTGTGGGAAAACGGCCACTGGTCTGCTTGTGGTTTGTGTTTTTCCCTGGCAGGTCCTCAATTTGGCTTGGTAAACCTCCACTGATTGGACAGTTTGGCCTGAGTCACTTATTTGGGTCAACAACCGGAGTTAGGTCGGAAGAGAGTAAGCCACGTTATAGCAGATGAATAAAAATTCGTTTAATAAGATGTTATCGTTTGGAAAGTGTGACTCACCAGGCCTCTTAGACAGTTATTTGAGCAAGAGGGAAAAAAAAGGTCAGACTGGAGCCAGCTCTGGTGCCAGCAGGGCAGGGCAGCCATACAGGGCCAACCCTGGGGCTGCAGTTGGAGGAGCTGCCTAGAGGAGCCTGGGAGCACTCCTCCGTAGACCACCGATGGGAAGATGTAGGGGACTGACACATATTTTCCTAGTTTAAGAATTAAAGTTAGTGAGTAATGTACTTGTTCTGCCCAGAGTGTTTGAAAGTAATCTGTTCCGGACAGGCTCCTTGTGATAAACAAGGCTGTTGCCTAGAGGCATAACAAAGGACCTGAGCTGCAAGTATGCAAGAGCTATCCTGCCCCACAGCATTGGGGCTCTGGAAGCCACATGATAAACATATTGTTCCTGTGATTGCTTTGTACACCCCATAAGAGGGCTGGTTAGTCAATGACGGGTAAGACCCCTCAAGGGAGGGGCGACCTAAGCCAGGCACAGCCACCGGGGTTCAGCCGAAGATCTTAGGGGGTCACCCTAAGCGAAGCTGGGGATGAGAAATGCCCCCTGTGGCTCGCCTTGCCCATCCTTGCTAATCTCGGTCCTTTATCTATGCCTAGTGCCTAGAGCAACCACCTTGAAATTCTGAGTCAGGGGATATCTGCTTCCGTAAGGCTACACATTCCAGAATTTATGGCTATCCCTGCCACGCCTGGGTGGTTACCTACAAGGAACTAACTTTAATCTTTTAGAGTATAAAAACAAAACTGACCCAGTATATTATTACTCAGTCAAACCTGTATGTGTGTGTGTCTGTATGTGTGTCCGGGTTTTTCTTTGTGTTCTACGTTTGTGTTTTGTGTTCTGTGTTCATCCTGTAAATGGGCCATGACAGGAAGACGCCCAGGGGGCTTGTGCGGGGGCTTCTTTCAGAGGCTGTGGGATGTTTCCTGAATTTGGAAAGGCACAGGGAAATCTGACCGCCCTGTTGGTGAACTTTGGTCCCCTGCAACTCGACCACCAGCTCCAACTGTGGCGTCAGCTCTACAGCCAGCGCCAGGTCCTTCTCCAGGTTGGCAGCAGAGCCTTCCTGGCCCTTGCCTGTGGTTGCAGATGTTCTCGAACCACACCGGGGTCCGCCTGCTGGCTCAGCACAGCACAGCCAGACACTGGGCTGAGAGGTGCAGGAGAAAGAGGCACGTCCTGTAGACTTTTCCTCCGGCGAAAGAAACAGAGAGGGAGAGAGAGGTGGGGGGGGGACAAGAAGTCACGTCCAGTTTGCAGGGGGTGGGAGCCTTTATACTGTTTGGGGCGGACTGGAGACTTTTGGCGGGAAAAGCTGGGGCGACCTTTGGTGGTCATTGAGAAATAGGAGGGGCTGGCGGTATTTTCAGAATCCAGGAACCGAAAAACGTTCTCATCTGGGTGGACATCCAGGTGTTGTTTGTGTTCAGTGGGCCGGCAGCCGTCCTTGGGGGGGGTCTGGTCTCGTGTAGCCTTTTCTTTTTGATCTAGGGAGGGGAGGGGGGCCGCCACCAGCCTTACACGGGACGTGGACGGAGCACTCAAGGCCCACTCCTGGATGGAGTCTTCAAGGGCAGGGGTACGCTTCAGGCTGGCACAACTGCAAATCAGTAACGTGGAGGAATATCCTCATGGTGGCGCCGCCGCCAGCGGGAATAGGGCCCGCTCCGGCCCGGTCGCCTGGACGGCTCCCGGAGGCCGCCAGGGGGCGCTGCCGCGGCGACCGGAGCGCGGCGCGGGTTGGCCCTCGCGGGCCGCCGTACGCGCTATAAAAGGCGCGGCGCGTCCTTGCACGTCCTCTGTGAACGGCGGCGGCGGCCATGAGGCGCGCGTCTCGGGCCCCGGGTTCTCCCGAGCCCCGCGGGGCGGGTCCTCCGGCCTCGCCTTTCGGGGCAGGCGTGGCCGCGCTCTCCCTGGCGCTGCTCGGCCCCGAGACCCGGACGGCGGCGGCGGCGCGCGCGGCCCGCAGGTAAGAGCGCGCTGGCGAGCGGAGGGGCTCGCCCGGGTCACCGCGGTCCCACCTGGCCGGCTCCGGCTCCGGCTGCGGCTGCGGGCGGCCCGCGGGGCTGGGAGGAGCAGGAGGAGGGTGTCGGTGTCTGCGGCGCCGCCGCCCACCTGCCTCCCCGCCGGGCCTGGGCTCGCGGTGCGGCAGGTCCGGACCCGCCCGGCTCTGAGCCGCAGGCTGGGGACGCGGGACGCCGAGGAGGAGCGGCCCTGTCCGAGGGTGGGAAGGCAGCTGCCCCGGCCGTTCACGTCGCGCCCGCTTTCGCCTGGGAATCTCCCGGAAGCCCGGCGAGGTGGTGGCACGGTGGGGGAGTCTGGTCATTGCAGAAGAGCGTCCTCCCCAAATGTATCCACGAGCCTTCCACAGCCGCCGCCTCTCTCGCTACCTGAGCCTTTGAGGAAGTCAAGTGTCTCTGGGTTTTTTCTTTAAAACGTCAGTTGTCACTCCTCATTGGGCTCGGTCCAAAAGTTAGGTGGTTTGTCTAGTGCAGGGGGTGTGAATGCTGCTGCTCGGCTGGTGGAAAGGGGGAACTGCTCGGTTGTCTCGGGCATTGCCTGGTTCCTTGATGTCCGCAGAGGTACAACAGCCAGTATCCTGTTGGGTTTCGTGCAGTGCCGGTGTATCGTAGCCTGCGTTTCCACACACACCTGCCAGATTAAGCAGGGAGTGAGGGGAGAGAAGAGAGTAAGGCGGGGTGGATTTTCCTGGAATGGCCCTTCTAGGCAGGAGTTTTCTGGTGGCTGGGACCCTTTGGTCTGTCTCCTGGGAGACCAGATGCAGCAAAATATACTGTAGTGCAACCCTCTTCTGTGATCTTGGCAAGATTTGTATGAAATGTTGGTTTCTTCCTTAGGGAGTTCGCTTACTGGCAGCTACACCCGTGAGGGATGCTGGGGTCTTGGGTAAGTTGACACGTCGGTTCTGGAACGGGTTCACCTTTCAAGTACAATCATCCCCTCCCATCTGACAGCCTACTTGACTGTAGGGACATCTTGGCCCTGCATCTGCATGGTAGGGAAGCTCCCTCTCCAGGGGAATAAACGTGAACTATTTCACCTTCAACACATGCTGCCCCTAGAGGCGTTGCAGATGTGGCTGCTGTGCTGCATTTGTGTCATTAGGTGGCGGAGAGAAGAGAGGCTATGTCTACGCTCAGCGTTCTGACCCATGGACGTCTGAATGATTATTAGTCCGACACTTAGCAATGCTCCAGCGCAGGGCTTTGTGCTGCTTCCCCTTGCTCTCATTTTGTGGACCTCGATCTATTAGTGCCTGGATAGTAGCTCTGGGAGAGCGTGGCCGTGTGGGTGCAGAAGGCAGGAGGGCTTCCTGGCCAACATGCTGGTCAGCCGGGTTTACGCAGCACCACTCAGTCCTCAGGAGAGCAGGCTGAGCACTTTCTAATCTTCACTTTTGGACATCAGGGGTCTGGGAGGGACAGTGGGAAGGTAGAAGGTGCCCTTAGCAGCAGCAGCCTTCATACGTCAGTTTTAAAAATTAGTAATAGGAAGAATAAAGGACAACACCTGATAGTTGATTCATTCTGTGCACCTTGTCAAAGGGGTAGTGTTTCCGAATCCTCTAGGAATACAAAGCACTAGGGAAGGGGCTGCTGGTGCTTGGTTCAGTTGATGGTAGCAGCTTGTACTGTCCTCTTGCATCTGTGCCAAGCAGTTTTGTTATTTGATACAGGTAGGAACATGACTGTCAACCTGTGAAGGTCGCCTTACCATGTGAGCATTGGCTAGAGTGACCGGTGGCCTCAAGGTAAGAGGAGAGGCGAAGGCTGCCCACTCTGGCCCTGGGCGGGAAGTGAGTGGCTGCCCTGCAGATGCTGCACTGGTCCTGCCAGCACCACAGGTGTGGCTGCTCTGCTGCACCTGTGACATCGGGGCAAAGAGAAAGTGGCTATTTCTACGCTCAGTGTTCCGAAACCAGTGAACACTAAGAATGGTTTGTAGCCTGACATTTCCTAGAACCACAGGGAGGTAGCATTTAGCTTTTGCTTTGGAACATGACCCCCTGGTTGCTCCACAAGGGGTGGTGGCATGTGCGGTGATGACAGTGCCGCACTTTCAGATATCGCGGGGAACCCAGGCGAGACCGCTGCACTTGGTTTTCATTTTCTTCATCTATGAAGTGGGGCCAGTTACCAGGATTAAATGAGACTGTGTGTGTTTAAAGCCCCTGGCACATGGCCACCTCTTGGTACAGTGAGACTAACCGGGAGAGGGTCTCATTCCTAGAATTCCCAGAGTATCCTCTCCTAGAGAGGACAGTTCTCCAGATCTGTCTGGGGAGGACTTGGGCAAGTGTGGCTAAGAACCTCAGGGGTGGTACAAACTGCCTGTGTCCTGGCCACCATTGACACTCCTTGGGTGGTCCCCAGACCCTATGCCCAGAGGAAGGGCCCTCGATGGTGGTTCAGGAGCTGCCTCACTCTGGTGTTGTCAGGAGCCTTGAGACAAGCAGGACAAGAGGAGACGTCTCTGGGTCCGTTATGGAACAGGAATGCCAGAGGGTCACAGTAGGGTATGGAACGGGAATGCCAGAGGTGCACAGCAGCATTCTTTCTGTTGGAGACCAAAGTCAGGGCCCTTTGGGGCCCACCAAAGGCCTGTAGATTAATGGTTTTTAACCAGAGTGATTTGTGTGCCCTTCCCAGGGTATGTGGCAATGTCCAGAGATACCTTATTACATCTTCATAAAATGGGTGGAAATGGGGGTGCTGTCTAGCGGGCAAAGGCCAAGGGTGCCGCTACACATCTTAAAGCAATGGTCCCCAACCTTTTTGGCACCAAGGGACCATTTTCATGAAAGACAGTTTTTCCACGGACTAGGCACGGTGGCGGGGAGATGGTTTGGGGATGATTCAAGTGCATTATGTTTATTGTGCACTTTATTTCCATTATATTACATTATAATATATAGTGAGGTAACTATACAACTCACCGTAGGTTGGGGCCCTGCTACAGTGCACAAACTGACCACACAACATAGAATTATGTGGCCCCTAAACCAACAGTGCTGGTATTGACAAACCTTCCTATAGGGTCACATAAGAATAAAAATATATAACTTTAAATACAATTTTGGGAATTCACAGTTGGGATTTCCTAGAGATCATTCAGTGAATCCGCGTTAAGAGCGAGCCTTGGTCTGCTTCATTGTCCTGTTCGTTTTTCAGATCTGGAGTCCAGGAGGGACGGAGGTGCAGCTGTGGGCTTTGCCGCCCTGGGACCAGGCACATGCAGCGTCTGAGGCCCGCCTGCACCAAGCCACACAGCTGCAGACTATATTCTGCTTTTGTTTCAAGGGTGGGCAGGCTGATGCTGGTCCGTCCTGCTGCCTGTGGCCTCAGCCCTGGGTGGGGCTACACCACGGCTGCCTGGGGGCACCTCGTGGGACCACCGCATGCAGAACAGACTTTGTATCACTTTAATCAACCCTTTTAAAGCCCCACCTCAAGGATCACTTGAGGCCAGCCTGAGCAACAAGACCTCCGCTCTACAAAAAATTTAAAAATTAGCCAGTGGCATGTGCCTGTAGTCCCAGCTCTCAGGAGGCTGAGACAGGAGGATCACTTTAACCCAGGAGTTTTAGGTTATGGTAAGCTATGATGCTGTTGTACTCCAGCCCGGGCAAGAGTGAAAAAAAAAAAAAAAGATTAGCATTAAGGATATGGGCCTTATGGGTTGGAATTTTAAGCAAGAGGTTTTAAAGTGAATGGAAAGATTTGATGCACTTCCAAGGAGAGTATTTCTGTGTTGGCAAAACTTGAGAATAAATTGGTCTTGAATTCACTGTATCTTGATTTGAACTTTCCTCCTGGGGGGAATTCCTGTGGGGAGCACGTGCAGGGGGCTGGGAAAAGCTGCAGTGCACTATCACCTGGCTGTTGCCTAGATAAGGAGTTTCAAAACTAATGGCTAATTTTTGTAAAATCTGTGTTGATACTAGAGTATCTTTGTCTGTTCGTGACCTTTACCATAAACCAAGCCATAATCCAGGCTTGGGGGGTCTCCTAGACACCCTCAACCACCTGACTGCTGAAACACTGCGAGGGGAGAGGCTGGGTGAGGGCTCTGGGACAGCAGAGGACTGGGGCGAGGTGCCCAGCTGCATGGACTGGTGGGCCACCACGCTGGGGCCTGTGAGCAGTGCCGCACATCACATAAAAGCTATTTATTTACAAGATTTCTTCAGAGTGACAAAGCCCATCTGGGCCCGGGCGGGTCCCCCTTGGGTCAGCTCCAGGCTCCTGCCCTCCGTGTTCAGCCTTTCCTCTGAGCTCAGAGGGTCCCATCTGTGGGCTGCTGGAATCCAGGGAGCCCTGATGCTGTGGGACGGTTCTGTGATGGGTTGCTTGAGGGAGGGGAGGAGAGGCAGCTGCCGGGCCGGCCCCCCAGGATGGCCAGGAGGCGAGCCGGTGGTGTTAGGAGTACTTGGTGTTGGAGATCTTCTTCCAGAGCAGTGTCTTGAGGTGGCTGAGCACCAGCGAGTGGTGGGCCTCCACCTGGCTGGCCAGTCCGCTCAGCGTGGTGCAGGTCCGCAGCTGCGAGCCCAGCTCCTCGCGGAGGTCGGCGGGGGCGCCAGGCAGCAGGTAGTCCCGCAGCAGCTCGCACACCTTGGCCAGGTTGGGCTGGATGAGGTCGCCCTTGCACTGCCTCATGAGCCTGTCGCAAGGGGCCCTGCAGTCGCGCCCGTAGGTGCAGTCCGAGCTGTGCTCGCAGCGGCGGCCCTGAAGGAAGCGGCGCACGGCAGCCTCCGGCGCCACCTGCTGCAGGTCGGCCATCTTGAAGTCGTAGGTGGCCGTGTAGCCCACGTTGGCCAGCGTGGTCTCACACATGTAGAAGGTTCCGTAGGAGCCGTGGAAGAGCTCCTCCACGAACTCCAGCAGGCCGATGGCGATCTTGGCCCGCCAGGGCCACGCGGGCCCCAGCCACTGCTGGAGGGCACTGTGCAGGGCGGGCGGCAGCAGCGGGCGCAGCAGGGGCGGCAGCGCGGCCACGTGCCAGGGCCCGTGCGGGATGCCCTCGGTGAGGTAGAGGTCCCCGCAGTAGCCCAGCAGCCGGGAGGCGTGCTCCTTCTCCTGCAGGGACAGCAGCAGCAGGAACTCGTTGCGCTGCAGCAGGGCCCACACGGACTTGGCTTCGGCCAGGGACACCCGGCTGTCCTTGTTGAAGTCAGCCATGAGCAGCACCTGGCCAACCAGCGCGGGCAGTGAGGGCAGGTCTCCCAGGTTCGCCTGCCGTTTGGGACCAAAAGGGAGACTTGGTCATCTTGGAGCCCTGGGAGCACGGCCTCCCCTGACCTGGTCCTGGCAAGGCGGCTGTGGGGAGACTGGCACATCTGCCAGGTTGGGGTCCCAGCCTGCAACCATGTAGCCGGAAGGGACAGCCAGCGACACGGGGGCCCCTGACCCTCCCTGGCCGGCGCTCCTGCTGCTGCCAGTCAGGCCTGCCTGATTCCCAGCTGCCTGGGGTGCTTGTGGGGACCTGGGGTGGTGAGCACCGGGGCACAGAGAGGCCTCCGAGCTTCTGGGGGTTAGACTCAGCCGAGGGCAGAGGCTGGCAGGTGCCTTCATCCCTGAGCCCTCGTTCCCCCTCCTGGCTGGTCCTCAGCTCCTGCCACGTGGACCTGCTAAGGGGCCTTGGCTCTGCCAGCCCGTCTGGCCCCCACCCACCCTGCAGAGGCTGCTTCCCTGGCCTGCACTGGGGGCGCACAGGTGCCAGGCTGCCCACCGCATGCATCCTGGGCACGGGCTCTGCAGCTGCAACAGACAGCCCGTCCGCCTCCCAGGAAAGCCGACTGACCTTGAGGAAGCTGAGAGTCATCTCCCGGAATTCCTTGATCGAGGTGCCCCGGGTGGGCTTGTCGAACAGCACCAGCTCCCGTCGGGGGGGCATGTCCGGCTGGGCCTTAGAGTCGAGGGCCTCCTCAATGCCACACTTGATGGTCACATCCTTGTCCCTCCAGAGCCCGCTGTACACCTGGACGGGACCACAGGGGTCCTCTGTGCCGATGTGCCCCTCCCGCCGCACGGGCAGCCTCAGCCCCAGGCCCACCCAGCCCTGCCCGCGGGCATACCTGCTGGCCCGGGGCCGATGACAGGCAGGTCCTCCACTCCACCTTGTGCAGCTCGCACAGGTCCTGGCAGATGGAGCCTGAGATGATGCCTTTGCGGTACTGGTCACACTGAGGAGACAGTGCCAGGGTGTGTCGAGGACGGGCTGGGTGGTCAGGCCCCCTGCCCCCACCGAGCCCCTCTCCACACCCACGATTCCTGGGAAGGAGGGAACCAACTGGCAAAGCAAGGTGGACATCGGTGGGAGGGTGGGCATCTAGGGTCCCATCACATCTGCCAGTCTGTCCCAGGACCCAGTGTGCCGGACGCTGCGGCTGCAGCCCTTTTCTCAGGGACTTCAAGCTGCTGGAGCTGGTAGCCCGGCAGCCTGGCGCCCACGGCAGGCCCTGAGCCACGCGGGGGCAGCACCGTGGCTGGTGGGGCGGCTGGATCACTGCAGCCCAGGGTTCCCCGCACCTCCACAGGCAGCGCCAGGCCCTGGCACGTACCATTGGCGGCTGCAGCATGAGCCTGTCTGCTGCAGGGTGGCCCCCACCCCCACCACGTCCCATTAGGAGGACACCACATCCTAATGGTCAAGCCCAGGCCGGTGGCCAGAGATAAGAGTTTAGGGACATGCACTCTGTTCCTTGTATGGATTGCACATCGCCCCCACTTCCTCCTGACTCCCCATTCCTGCCTTCTGGGACCCGGGCAGGCCCTTCCCTCCTGCCTCGTGGCGCCCTCCCTGCCCAGGGTCCTGGTGGTGCCCTGAATCGCTCCTGGGACACCAGGAGGAACACAGGGCAGCCCTTGCGCCAGAGCACGGCCAGTGTGAGCAGGTTTCCCCTGTGAGGGGCCCTGGTCGCGGGTGGGGCATTAGGCTGTCCCCCAGGTGAAGGAAGAGTCCTGGGAAAGGCACACGGTAGCACCACGCCCAGCGGGGTTAGGGGGCTGCCGGCGGCTCTGGAACTGGACAGCCCCTGGTGCCGGCTCCGCCCAGAGGCAGGGCTGCTTGGTTTCCACGCCCCCTTCCCCGCGGACTTGGTCCCTTCCTCCTTGTGCCCTGACATGCGGCACAGGCCCTGAGACGCTGTCCTACCCCAGGTGCGGTCAGGACAGGGCGCCCCTCGTGGAGGGGACGCTGCGAGGTGGTGACAGAGCCCACCTGCTGCCCCCAGCCTCGAGCTCCTCGCCCGTGCGGTGGGCGAGCACTCCCAAATCCTGGGGCGATAATGTGGCACGGGCGGGCTCAGAGCGCAGTGACTGCTATCATCAGTGCTGTTTGCCACCGTCAGCTCAGAGAACAGCACCCTGGGGCTGGACAATCACTCCCAGCCCTGTCCTCCCTGCCAGGCCCGCCCCAGCCCCCGTCAGCCAGACGAGCAGGGAGACACCCCTGGCAGTAATGAAATCAGACGGGGCCCTGCGGCCTCGAGTCCCAAGGGAAGGCGGGGAGCCGGGAGGTGACGGGGCGCCCATGGAGCCCAGCCCTTCCTCTCGGGGCCATGCTGGGTGAACTCCTGGATGCACACCGGTTGCCACGGAGCCGGGGCACTGTCGGCCAGGCTTGGAGGAAGGAGAGAGGGAGGGGTGTGCGGAATATCCCGCCATCCATGGTGGGGGAGGGCAAGGGCTGGGGACGAAAATGAGACTGAGCCAGCCAGAGGCCAAGGACTCAGCCACGTGAACCAGAAGGCAGTGCCCGTCCAGGGGCGGCGTGAAAGCCACAGCTCTTCAGACCAGACCAGGGACACTAAGAAAACCCCACACCTGTAGGCAGGCTCTCGGGGCCAGGGTTCTGCTCAGAGCCCCCCCAACACGTGTTAGGGGACTTATACTCTACGCCGAGAACCCCCACAGCGGCAGGGCCTGGGGGACAGGAGGCTGCTCCACACCCCGGAGTATGGCGGGTGCTGGCCACGTGGCCCACCACCGGCTGGGAGCCAGGGCTCCAGGGCCCACACCCACCTTCCCTGCACGTCACCAGGGCTGTGGGGGCTTCCTCAGGTGCTGAGGCTGCCCACCAGGTCCCCTCTCCCCCCAGCCCTGCTAGCGCCTGATCCATGACCCCTGGCACCGTCCCCACCCGTGTGAACGTGGACAGGCCTGGGAACCCGAGGTATCTGATGCCCATGTGAGGCAGGCAGGTGGTGGGAGGGGACATCCCCACGGCCCCTGGGTGGGCCTCTCTTGGTGGGCCTGGGCTTCAAGAGAGCCAGGCTTGGCAGTGACCTCTGGGAAGGCCCCGGTGAGCAGAAGGGCCAGCCAGCCCAGGACGCTGCAGCCTCCTCCTGTTTGGGGGGCACGTCCTTCTGCTCCCCGCAGCGGCCTGCTTGGCCTGGCACACAACACCGGTAGGTGTTGAGAACACACCTGCCGGTGCCCTAACCACCTGCTCTCTGCGCCCACAGGCCTGTGCCCAACCCTGGCCTCCTTGGTCCCCAGGCCTGGCCCCTCCGCCACTGCTGTCCTGCCCATGGTCCTGCACAAGATCTGTCACAGGGGCTCTGCACGCCCGGATCCCCACCCCCCTCCCCCATAGCCACCCTGTCAGACAGGGCTCTGCAGGGCCCAGGGCCGGGGAGCCAGGAGCGGTGGCCAGAGCAGGCCCGCCTGAGCCCCCCCGCAGCCCCCTCGACGCCCGAGGAGTTCCTGCTGCTACAGGGCAGCGCCCGGCCCCAGGTGGGGGGCGGCATCGGGACCTGGTCATCAGGGACCTGGTCATCAGCGTCTCAAGGGCTCTGGCTGCTGGCAGGCCAGGTAGGGCGGGGTCAAGATGGCCACGGCTGTGAGGCCACGTGGGTGGAGGTCCACCCGGCTCTGGGCACATCTGGGCTTTGCCAGGAGAATGGGGCTGTCACGCCCTCCCCCAGCCAGTCACACGGCACAGAGAGGAGCTCACACGCTCACACACCTGTGCTCATGCTTGCTCACACACGCACCTCCTCAGCTGCTGGGGGGACTTTAGCCCCATCTCCCTGGGGTGCAGGTTCTGGAAGGCCATGCTCTGCACCTGCTTCGGGGGGCCCCTGCCCCAGGAGGAGCCCCCGATGCCACCCAGGCAAGCACCAGTCTGCAGCAGTGAGAACAGCTGCCTGTCCTCATCCCCCTGCCGAGACGTCCTCCCTCCCAAACATCTCCGGAGTCTGCCCTGTCCCCAGCCACCGGCCCGTCCAAGCCGCCCATGCCCTTCTGGGCACCCACTGCAGCCACCACCTCCCCCCGCTATCTCCCCACTTGCCCCCCGCCCCCCAATCCTCCACCCTCTGCCAGGGGCTGCTCTGCAGAGCGCAACTTCCACCTTGAAACCCAAGTGGCCTCGCGGCCGTAGGCCTAAACTGGCGCCTCCAGGGCCCGGCCAGCATCTCACCCACACGCCGGGCGACACTTACGATGACCACCTGGCAGACGCGGCCGCGACACAGCTCTGAGTAGGATGAGTAGTGCAGGTAGAGCATCCAGCTGCCCGCGAAGACGCCCAGCCAAACCAGGAACACGGACTTGACCCTGAGGCCCGGGAGCCGCCCCTGCTGGGGGAAGGAGCCACTTGAGACAGTGCTGTCAGTGCCCTGCGTATGGGGTTTCTCTGACCCCCATTTCACAGATAAGGAGCCTCGGCACCCCTTGGCCACCGGCAGCCCCTCCGGCTTCCAGGCCATGTCCACCTCCGGCTCAGTGCCCCCCGTCTTGGGTCCCTCCCCAGCGTGCGGTCGACAGGCAGGGGTGGCACCTCCCAGACTTACATTTCCTGGACAGGTAAAAACACATTTCAAAATGAGGGGGGGTGGCCAGCGCTTTCTTTTGCTGAATAAAGATACGTCATAGAAACTCTCCTGTCTTGCTCGAATTTCCTAACGTTTTCACCTCTGCACCAGCTCCCATGAGCAACACCTGGCAGTTGGGGAGGGTCCACCCGCCACAAGCCCCCAAGTGACACTGCCCTTCCCGCTGCCGTGCGGATGGGGCTGCACACCAGAGCTCACAATGGCCGGCCGAGGGGCACAAGCAGCCCCAGCATCTGTGGGGGTGCAGGAAGTGTTCAGCCTCAGGGGAAGGAAATTTTGACACATGCTACAATTGGGGTGAACCCGCAGGGCATCATGGGGGTGACCTGGGCAGTCACCAGGGGACATATCGTGTCTGATTCCGCCTTTCTGAGGTCCCCAGAGGTGTCCATAGAGACAGGTAGAAGAAAGGTGGGGGATAGAGAGGGGCGGGGGAGGAGGACTCGGTGTTTCCTGGGGACAGAGCAGCAGGCTGGGAGGACGGAAAGTTCTCCAGGTGGCCGGCGGTGACGGCTGCGCAGCAGTGGGAATGTCTTTAATGACACTGAACTGTGCACACAAAAATAGTTAAAATGGTAAACGTCATGGGTATTTTAGCACAATTAAAAAAACATAAGGAGTCCCTGTCCCTCTGCCAGAGGCACCAACCCAGCTGTCTGGGGTGGCCTTGGAACTGTGCTCACAGAGGGCGCTGGGTCACTCCGCCTCAGCCCCTCTGCCTTGGTTTCCCCTGCTGGCAAGTGGAGTCACGGGTGTGAGGGTCCCAGAGTCCTGGCTGAGGTGCTGGGGGCACTGTCTCCCATCCAGCCCTCCCAGCCAGGTTTCCAGGGGTGACAGCAAGGGACAGCTGGGGATGACCTCCATCCCCGAAAGCCCTGCCCTAGCAACTGTAGCCCTCTTAGGGTGCTAGTGTCTAGGCACGGCCAGCAGAGGGGGCTGTGTTGCCAGGGGCACGGACATCCTCCACCCACAGCTGAGCGCAGGAAGGCACAGACTTGGGGGCCAGCCTCCCCCCAGAGGAGGCCCTGATGCTGGCGCCAAGCACCCCCGTGGCCTCCTGTCCACCTGCCACCAGGGAGAGGCTGACCACTGGGCCAAGCCATGTCCCCCTCCCAGGACCTTCTGGCCAGACACACGCCCCACAGCCCCAGGGCGGAGCCACAGTCAGGAGCAGAGGGCTCCAGCTCTGCTCAGTCCTGGGGAGCTCGGGGCTGGGGCAGGAGCCTCCTCCTCTGAGAAATGGGGCCGCCGCTCCCCACCGAGGACAAGGCCCAGCCTAGGCGGCTGGGGGGACCCCTTCCCCACCCCACTCCTGCTTCCTGGGCACCAGCTCCCTGGGCCGCCACCCCAGGAGGGGCCGGGCGGGAGGACTCCAGGGAGCTGAGGGAGGGGCACAGCTGGGCTGGAGACAGCCATGGCCCAGGTTGGGCCCCCGCACCCCCCCCCCAGGCCCACTTGTCCCTGGCACTGCATCTGTTTCCGTCTGATTTGTGCAAAAGGAAAAACAGGAAAGCAGAGAAACAGTGGGGGGTGGTGCTGGAGGGGGTGCTGTTTTGGCAGGATGAGGTCGGGGAACTTCTGGCTCAGGGGAGCACGCCCTAGGCAAGCCGAGCACAGAGGTCCAGCATGGGCTGAGGGTCTAGGGGACAGCCAGGAGGTGGGCAGCCTGCGGCCGTCGCTGGACCCAGGGGCTGCCAGGGTTGGACAAAGTGACCCAGAACTAGGGGCCCAGCCCAGGAACCGCCCATGCCCCAGCCAAACACACCAGGGCTCAGGCTTTTTGCGGGAGGCTCCCTCTCTGGCCACTCCCCTGGAGCCGTCCCTGACTCCCCTGGGGCCTCCAGGGTACCAGAGGGGTTTTGGGGGGCAGACTGGCAAGTCTGGAGGATGCCCCTCCAGGCCTGGGCTGGGCTTTGCAGGGACAGGATGGGACCAGCTCCCTGGTCGGGGAGGTCGCTCAGGGGTTGGTAACAGCACAACTGTCCACACCCAAATGCCCCTTGCCACCAACCCAGAAGGGTGTTTCACAGGCAGGGAGTCTGAGGCTCAGGGCGAATGGCCACACTGCCTGGGGGCGAGGGGCTGGGCTCGGACCAGGGCTCTCCCCCTGAGCCAGCCCCAGGGGAACCGGCCCAAATCCCTCTCCTACTGTTCCTGGGCAGAGCTCAGAGGGCCTGGAGCACTGCTCTAGGTCCCTGGGTCAAGGCCCTTCCTCAGGGCTGGGGGCAGACGCTCACCCCACCTCCTGGGTACGGAATGGTCCTCCAACCCCTCAGCTCCCACCTTGCCCAGGGCTGGGCTGGGTCCACCACACCCGGCGGGCCCAGGCAGGCAGGGTGTCTGGGCCCAGAGGGTCACACTGCAACCTGTGAGTTTCAGCTGCAACCCCTCTGCCCAGGAGGGAACTGAGGCCAGCCATGCCCTCAGCAAGGGCAGGACCTCCGGCGCCGACCCGGGACCCCTCCGACCAGGCTGGCTCCCTCCCGCAGGTGGCTGGGGTCCTGGAACGCCTGGGAGGACGTGGAGACGGGGGGTGGTGGTCCTGGACGGCTTGAGACTGATGTTGCCTGGCCGGGCCTCCCCAAAGCCGGTGAAAGGGGTTCGGGCAGCTAGAGCCCAAGGCCGCCTGGGCCTCCCTTGCAGGCGGTGACTGCTCCAAGGTCACCCTGGCCAGGGCCCGGTCCCTGCTCTCTGGCTGGCTGATGGGATGACCCAGGAGCAGGTCAGTATCTCCTAGAACGTTTCTATGTGTCCCAAGTTTTCTACAGCAGAAAAACACACCTTATTTTTTAAGTGGAGAGAAAAGGAAGGGACCTCGGTGTGGCCTGTGGACCCCGGGGAGCAGGGTCTGGCCTGGGCGGCGGGCGCTGCCAGCCCGCAGCATCCACCTCTCCCCACCCCTCTCCCGTTCCGGTCCTCTCCAAGTCCCCGGCCTCCCCACCCGCCCGGGGGCCACCCCCTCCCCACCCGCCCTCGTTAACCCCTTGGGTCCTGAATCTGGGCCCACCCTCCGCGCTCGGCCCCACCCCCGGGGCTGGACGTCGCCCTCCCGCGCCCAGAGGCGGCCGGGTCTGCGTGGCGGGCGGCCCCGGCCTCGCGCCAGGCCCCGCGCTTACCTGCAGGCCCTTGGAGAAGGGGCAGAAGAGCACGAGGTGCGCCAGGCGCCGCAGCCGCGTTTGTGGGGCCGGCGGGGCGCGGGCCCGCGCCTTGCTCGGCCTCAGCCCCCGCCGGCCCGGCCGGCCCGCTACGGCCGCCGCCGCCTCGCATGCGGGCCGCGCGCCCCGGCCCGCGTTAAAGGCGAGGCGCGCGCTTTCTGACGGCCGACCGCGGCGCTGGGGGCGGGGCGCGCGTGGGGCGCGCGGGGCCGCGGGGCGGAGCTGGAGGCGCGCCGCAGCGCTCGGGTGGGGTGGGAGGCGCCGAGGCCCGCCTCCGGAGCGGCGCGGGGGGCGGGGCGCGCGGCGGGGCTGCGGGCGGGGGTGTGCGTCCGGGGCTCCCGCTGCGGCCAGGGGCGCGTTTCCACTCCCGATCCTGCGGGGCTTCCCGGCGCGCACGGGCGCGCAGCCCCCGCCATCGCCGGGGCGCAGAGCGAGGCGCCCGCGAACGCTCCCGGCCTTTCGGGTGAGCCCCTGCGCCCCGCATCCTGCTCCTGACGTCCGGCCCCTACGACTGCCGACTGCCGAGGCCACTGGTTTGGCGGCTGGCGCTGGGCGACACGCGAGTCGCCTCCATCCGCTTTCGTGCGCAGGTGTCGTGTGGACACGGGTTCCATTTCGCTCTGGCAAATACGGGGGGGGGGTGCTGCTGCGCGGTGGGACGGAGGGACCTTAACTCTGCAGCCACCCGGGCCTTGGCCCCTCCCTGGGGAATGGGGGGGGTCGTCTATCCAAGTGGCTCAACCATTAAAAGCAAATCGTGTGGTTTCCTCTCATGACGCTTTGAGACATTTTTTTTTGGGGACAGAGTCTCTGTTGCCGAGACTAGAGTGAGTACCGTGGCGTCAGCCTAGCTCACAGCAACCTCAAACTCCTGGGCTCAAGCCATCCTCCTGCCTCAGCCTCCCGAGTAGCTGGGACTACAGGCATGTGCCACCATGCCCGGCCAATTTTCCTCTCTATATATTAATTAGTTGGTCAATTAATTTCTTTCTATTTATAGTAGAGCTTGGTCTTGCTCTTGCTCAGGCTGGTTTCGAACTCCTGACCTCGAGCAATCCCCTGCCTTGGCCTCCCAGAGTGCTAGGATTACAGGGGTGAGCCACCGCGCCCGGCCACTTTGAGACTTCTTTATGCTTCTGGGTATCAGTCGATTATCAGACATGCGACCACGTAGATTTTTCTCCCAGCGTGTGCCTTGTCTTTTTGTTCTTTTAGCAGTGTCTTTCAAAGAACAAAAGTTCTTGATTTTAATGAGGTCCAATTTAACATTTTTTTTTCTGTTACGGCTTGCGCTTTTAGTGTGTGTCATAGCTAAGAAATCTTTGCCTAACCCAAGGTCAAAAAGATTTTCTTCTATGCTTCCTTCTAGAAGTCCTGCAGTACTGGGTTTTGCGTTTAGATCAATGAGCCAATTTCGAGTTAATTTTGCATATCTCCCGAGGTGTGTGGATCAGGGCAGTGTTCCGGTTTTTGGTTTTGTGTGTTTGTTTGTTGGGATGCTTTGCACTTGGATATCTAGTTGTTCTAGCACCGTCTGTTGAAAAGAATCTTTCTCCACGAATTGCATGGCAGGGTGTTAAACTTGGGGAGGCGTGGCCAGGCAGGACAGGACTCCGGCCGGGCACAGAGCAGGGAGGGGCCCGTGGGGGCTGAGTGGGCCAGGCTGGACACTGCGTGGACAGGGCCGGGCAGCATGAGGATGGGAGAGGGGCCGGGGGACCCTCCCAGCATCTGTGACCCCCAGAGCAGCTGGTAGCCAGACTGGGAGGAGGGACCATTGTGTCCCCAGGTGACCCTGTCTCCCCCCTCAAAGCCAGGCACTGCCCCAGCGAGGGTCTCAGAGCTCTGAGAAAGGGCTGAGCAGGACGGAGGGTGAGAGGCAGAGCGCCAAGCACCGGACCTCGCCCAGCCCGGAGGGAGGCCCTGCCACGTCCCGGCACCCGGGAGCCTCCTCCAGAGGCCCAGGGTCCCACAGGTGTGTAAGGGGTGGCCTGTCCCCCTCCTGCAGGAGGACTGGCACCAGGGCAGGGCAGGAGTGGCAGCTCAGCGGGAGGGTGCAGAAGCCCCTGGATTCATCCGTCTGAGTCGGGCGAGGCGGTGGCAAGGAAGGTCTGGGGCGGGTTCCCAGGGAAGGCTCCCTGGAGGAGGTGGCGCAGGAGGGTGAGTGGTCCCTGTGTCAGGATATGCTGAGGAGGGTGGGCGGACTAATACAGACCTGAAGTTGGACCACATGCCAGGTCACTTGTCCACAGGAGCCCCCGGGAGGTCACGTGGGCCAGGCAGACACTCAGGTGCCACCTGGCCACCCAGAGACTGCTCCGCCCCACTGCAGTCCAGGACCCATGGTCAGTGTCCATGGTCAGTCCAGGGGACACTTCCAGCTGCCCTGGGGAGGGATCTCCCCATGTCCCTCAAAGGCCGAGGCTGTTCAACACCTGTGGGCAGAGCCCAGCCAGCCCCTGTGGGGACGGGAGGGGGCGTTGCCTTGGTCCTCCAAATGGAGGATGACTCGGCCTCTGCCCCTTGGCTGCCTCTGAGAGGGAGGAGAAGGTGGGGACTGTCCCCCAGGCAGAGCCCACCGCCCATGTGCGGGACAATGGGAGACTGCTCAGGTGGGGCCCATGGCTGCGTCCGGACACTGGGCGTGCACCCCCACCGGGCCAGCAGGCCAGGGCCTCTCCCGAGAGAGCAGCTCGCCTTGGCCGCTGGGAGAGCCCCAAGCTGGCAGGACGTGGGGGGCCCAGAGACAGCCGTGCCAAGCCCACTGCCTCTGTGACCGAGGGCTCCTGGCCTGGGCCTGCTGACCAGTGTGGCTGGTGGGGCAGCGGCTCTCGGCCGCTCCCGTCCCCTCCATACTCAGTTGCAGCCTGGCGGGGGAGGCAGAGGCTCATGCAGGACCAGCGGCCCAATGCCACCGCCTCGGAGGAAGGCCGTGCTGTCCAGCGTGCGTGTGCATGTGTCACTAGGCCAGTGCGTGTGTAAGGGGACAGGAGAGCTCAGCTAAGAAAGCAGATGCAAAGGCCACCGAGGGCAGGATCCCCTTTATAGAGAGAGAAAGGGTCAGTGGGTGCCGGGCCGGGGCCCCGCGGGCGAGCCGGTGGTCTCAGGGACAGGGCTGGGCCCTTGGGGGAATGCCCACCGCCTCTCTCCTCTGCACCCCACAAGGCTGGTGTGGTTGCCACGCAGACTTCTCCCCCGGCACCTGGCATGGGGGCTCCCCAAATCCCTGTCCAGACTCTGGGGGTGCTCCAGAGGGGCTGCTGCTGATGTCAGACACCCCCTGGTCACCTGCTTCATGGGGGTTCCAGGGTGCTGGGGGCTCAGGGCCATTTGCTCACTATGAGTGAAGGTTCTGGGACTGGGGGGACAGAGAAGCCTGGAGGCTGCCCAGGGGTCCAGGGCCACCTCTCTGGCGTGTGGGTGACAGGTTAGGGGGTCTGGGGTGACCTCAGTAAAGGGGGGTTAGGGGAGGGCTCCTGAGAGTGGGCAGGACCCAGGACCACCCCCGCAGTGGGGCTGGGGGTTAGGGGGGACAGTCTGGATGCCGTCAAGGACTCAGGACTACCTCCCCAGGCATGGGGGGCTCTTTCTGGCTGGGGGTGGGGGCTATCACGCCCCCCCAGATGGCAGTCCCAGCCAGAGGTGGGCGCCTGACCCGCTGCGCCTGGATGCCCGTTTGCTGGGAGGTGGGGGCTCCGGGGGGCCGTGCAGGGCCAGGCACTGCAGGAGGGAGGAGAGCTCTGAGGAGCTCGCCCCGAGAAAGGCCGGGAATCGGGGACCACTCGCTCCTGCGGTGGTGCCAGCCCTTCCCTAAAGTGCCAGCTGGCCTGAGCTTACCGCGCCAGCGCTGGGAGCCAGCCCTGCGAGACTGGCCAGCTGGCCGGTCCGGGGGAATGGGACTGGGGGGGGGCTCCCTGAAATGCCCTCAGGGCAGGATGTCCGACGTTTCCAGAGCATTCCAGAAGGTACAAGAGCTGGGAGAGCAGGACCGTGTGCACCCGGCTCTCAGGGCACGTCCAGGCCGCGGTGTGCGAGGCCGGCGCTTTTTCTCACCTCTGGGGAGGCGGTGGGGCCCCGCAGGCCCCTGGGCACGGCCGGCCTGCCGCACGGTGGGGTGGCCTGTCCCAGCCCTGGGGCACGAGGCTGTGCCCTGATGCTCCCATGGGCAAAGGCACAGGGCCCAGGACCCAGGAGAGCAGTGGCAGGTGCCACCGTGTGCTAAAGCCACGCTCAGCTCTCAGCTCACTGTTACATGGGGGGCGGGCTCGGCTGGGGCCCCCCACGCCCACGTCAAGATGTTTCCTGGCTGGCCGTGGGCTCGGCCCCGCCCACTCGGTGGGCACTCTCCTGGGCCCCGGGGCTCCCCCCTTCCTCGCCTCCTAAGCCGGCCGCGTGGGTGCCCCGCCGGAGCGAACCCTCGGCTCGTAGGATTAGACTGGATGATCCCTGCCATCTCCGCTCTCAGAGTCAACGGCCTAATCCCTTCTGTGCCGTCCCTTTTCCCCGCGTGGGAGCGTGTGCTCAGGGCCAGGAGTCCGAGCACGGCGTCCTCGGCGGCACTGTGCCCACCACCGGCGTCTGACTCCTCCCCAGCGCCCCACCCGGGGCTATCCAGAGTGAACCTCAGCTGCCTGGGGCGGGAGGGGACCCTCACTGCACCCTCCCAGGTGGCCTCGGCCACTCTGAGCCTCCTGGGCCCGGAGGTGACCTCTGACTGTCCAGACAGCTTGACAGTCCCTGAACAGGCCCAGGGGACGCAGGGGAGATTCGGCGCTGCTGCCCGCTGCCCCGAGACAGCTGACCTTTTGGTTCGAAATCTTTTTGGACTCACAGAAACATTGTGAAACTAGTCGGAAGGATGCCCAGGTCCCTTTCACCCCGGTCTGTGACCGTCAGCGCCTTGCTGTAGCTGCTGTCGTTCCCACTCCCTCCTCCCGAGACGGCCGAGCGGAAGTCGGAAGTCACAGACGCGGTTCTGTGCCCCCTGACCCCTGTCGTGACACCTGTCGTTTCCTCCGAGCAGAGACACTCTCGAGCGTGACCGCAGGGCGGTGGCCAAAGGCAGGAGAGTGACACGGACGCAGGCAGCACTGCCCAGGGTCCCCGCTTGTCCCTGTCACCCCCTGCCACCCCCTCCTGGCGCGGGACCATGCGGCGCGCGCTGGTTTGTCCGTGTTTTGCTTTTTCCCCGTCTGACCTCTGGGGTCCCTGCATCCTTCTCGGTGTTGGTGACCTTCCAGCGTTTGGAAGCTTCCGGCAGCCCAGTTGCCACGGTCCCGTTTGGGCGGGAGAGTCACGGAAGCGAGTCTGTGTCCTTCTCAGCGTCGCCCTGTCCCATCGCTGGGGACGCTGTCTGGTCACTTGGCTGAGTGGCATCTGGCAGGTGTCTCCTCTGCAAGCTTTCCCCCTGCGGTCAGTGCCGGGCGGTGCTCTGAGACCACAGAAACGCCACGTCTCGCAGAGCACGCCCGTCCCTTCATTGAAACGCACCGTGACCGATTCCTTCTGCGAGAGATTAGGCACGTGCACGGTGGTCACACGCAGCACGTCAGGCGACGTCCTGTCCCCACCCCCCCCGCTTTCCTTTTTTCGAGCGAGCAATGACGTATGTGATGAAGACAAGGTAGACGCTTCCTTTTTTTCTCTCTTTCGTTTGCTCTCTCATGTTACTGTTCCTTTCTTTCTGTGTGCTGTTACTTTTTTCTTTCATCTTTTCTGTTCTTTATTTCTTTCTTTTCTTTCTTTTTTCTTCTCTTTCTGCTTTCCTTCCTATCCTTCCGAGCTTCCTCCCTTCCTTCCCTTCCTTTCTTCCTCTTGCCTTCCTTTCCTTCCTTTCCCTCTCGCTTCTCGCCGCTCCCTTCCCCTGTCCCCCTCCCTCCTCCCTCCCTCCCTTCCTGCCTTCCCTCCCTTCCTCCTCCCTCGTGTCCCTCCTTCGCCCGCTCCCTCCCTCCCTCCCCTTTTCTCCCTTCCCTCGCCTTCTTCCGCCCTTCCCTCCTCTTTTCTCCCTTCTTCCGTTCCTTCCCTCTTCTTTTATTCTTTCTTTCTTTCTTTTCTCTTTCTTTTTCTTTTCTTTTCTTGTCTTTCAACAGCAGTCTCATCTCTCGGGCTAGGAGTCGCGTCTTAGGTTCAACAGGCTTCTTATTATTGTCACTTTCCATGATCACCCACTCCCTAGATCCCCCTGGGCGTGGCTGAGGAAGAGACTAGTCTCGCTTTGTGCCCAGGCTACGAGTGAGTGCCGTGGCGTGAGCCTAGCTCCACAAAGCAACTCGCACAACTCTGGGGTCAAGCGATCTCGCTGCCTCAGACCTCGGCAGAGTTAGCTGGGTATACAGGCAGCGCTCATATCTATGCCGAGCTCAATTAATTAATCCTATACTTATTAGTTGGCCAATTAATTTCTTTTTTTTTTTTGTTTTTTGAGAGCAGAGTCGTCTGCTTTGTTGCCCAGGCTAGATGTGAGTGCGTGTGGGTTGCAGCCTAGCTCATCACGCAACCTCAACGCCTGGAGGGGCTTAAGCGATCCTCCTGCCTCATGCTCCCGAGATAGCTGGATACAGCAGATTGCGGCCACGCATGCGCCGGCTCATTTTTTTTTTACATATAGTGTATTAGTTGGCCCCCCCCCCAATTAAGTTTTTTTTTTTTTTTTTGTTGTTTTGAGACAAGAGTCTTGCTTTGGTTGCCCAGGTAGAGTGCAGGTGCTGTGGCGGCAGCCGTTAGCTCACAGCAACCTCAAACGCCTGGGCGTCAAGCGGATCCTCCTGCTCAGCCTCCCGAGTAGTTGGGACTACAGGCATGCGCCACCTACTGCCGGCTATTTTTTTTTCCTCGTACTAGTAACTGTCGTCTGCGCGAAGCTAAGTTTCTTCTCGTCGATATTTGAGTATGAGCGGGGTCTTGCTCTTGCTCAGGCTGGTTTCGAACTCCTGACCTCAAGCAATCCGCCCACCTCGGCCTCCCAGAGTGCTAGGATTACAGGTGTGAGCCACTGCGCCCGGCCAAGGCGACCACACTTGCAGGTTGACCTGCAAGGTTGACCACCTGCCCTTTGCCCCTTGGCCTCCACCCCCTTCCCCATGTGGCATTGCTGCAGGGACAAAACCAGGACTGTGGTTTTGTTCTATAAAATTTATTTTATTGTCACAAAATACACATTACATAAAATTTGCCATCTTCACCCTTTTTAAGTGCACAGTTCATTGGCATTGAGCATACTCCCATCGTTGTGCAGCCGCCACCACCCTCCGGCTCCAGAACTTTCCATCTTCCCAACCTGACACTCTGTCCCCATGAAACACGGAGTCCCCATCTGGCTCCCCCAGCCCCTGGCAGCTTCCATCCCCCTTTCTGGATGAAGTTGACGACTCTGGGGACCCCCTGTGAGTGGAACCACACGGCATCTGTCCTTTTGCATCCGGCTCATGCCACGGAGCATAGGTCCCCAAGATTCGCCCATGTGTAGCCTGGGGCATAATTTCCTTCCTTCCTAAGGCTGAGTGACCCTGCATTGCACGTGTGAGCCGCATCTTGTTTAGTCACCGCCGGTCCATGGACACCCTGCCGTGTCCCCGGAGGGCTGTTGGCTGGTGATGGCGCCGCTGGGGCTTGTCGTGGGGGGTTTTCCCACCAGGCTCACCCTCTCCCACCGGGTGTCTGCGCCCCTCCTCTGCCGTGCTAAGGCAGGCTGGGCTCGGCATCCCTCCGCAGGGCTGGATAAGCCGCAGGCGGCCTGACTTTGGCGGCACTCAGGGCACACTGGCACATGGAGAAGGCACCTGGGGGATAGTAGGGACCAGGGTCCAATATCATACAGGGCAGCCGCGCACAGAGGCAGGCGCGGGCTCCGGCAGGAGGGCGTGCTCCCCAGCCCTGCGGGGGACCGGGGAGACCTGCCCACTGTGGGCGGCCGCGGGCCGAGGGAAGGGAAGACCTTACCTAAGGCTCATCGGCTGCCGCCTCTGCAGGAACAGACACAGGTCAGAACCCAGGATCCGCCCTGGACGGGAGGGACCTCCCCGGAGCCTGCCCAGGACTCTGAGCTCTCCCCAGAGGGGTGCAGCCTGAGCCCAGGACCCCTGTGGCCTGCGGGGACGGGTCCTGGTTCGCTGCGGTCTCACGAGGCGGGTGCTGGGCCCCTGCCAGGCCTCTGTGGTTTGTGCCGCTGGCCAGGCCACGTTGTCCTGGGCTGGCCTGGCCTCCGCCCACTTACAGGTGTGGAAACAGATCCACCTGCCGCGCCCCCCACGGCCTGCAGCGGGGCCCCGGGACAGGGGAGGCCGGGAGGGGTGGGCCCGGGGCCTGGGCACTGCACCCGGCCGGTCCCGCCGCGCTGGGGCCGTGACAGCGCACGGCTGAGACCAGCAAGTGCCTGGGGACGTGTGCCCCAGTCTTGCTTGCAAAGGCGACCGAGTCACAACAGGAAGAGGTTAGTGTCGTGGAAAGAAGGTTTTTCATACCAAGCCCTGGAGACGAGAGGCACGGCAGGCCACTCGGGGCCACGTGAAGCCTCAGGAAGCCTGTCCCACGCAGGGGCGGAGGAGCAGAGACAGGAACTGGGGCTGTGCCTTGAGGACTAAGGCGGCGGGAAGTGACCGGGTGGGGACGTCCCCAATAGCAGCCAGGGCAGTGTCCGTGGCCGGGGCAATTGTAACAGGACTCACGCACCCACGACTGCTGGCCAGCAGGGAGACGCAAACGCTCCCAGCCACCTGCCTGGCCCTGGGGTTCGGCAGGCGGGGAGGTGGGCGTCAGGGTGTCCGACGGGCAGCGCAGGATCTGAACTCGGGCTTGCTGCACCACAGCTGCCCCGCCCAGCAGGGACCGTAGCTGAGCAATGGCGGCCTGGTCCCCGCCTCCTGAGCCCGTTCCCCCCCCCACACTCGGGTGCTCCCCCTCCTCTGGGGGGCCTGGCAACCCCAGGGACATGGGGCCTCGGCAAGTTCCAGTTCCGTGGGGGCCTGGCATCCCCAGGACGCTGGCTCTTTCCTTCCCCGGGCCCGTGGCAGATCTGCAGGGCAGTCCCCGCGCCCCCCGGACTGCAGGGCTACTGCACCGTCCTGTCCCCCTGGGTGTAGACCCAGACTTGCCACACCCGGCCAGAAGCCCCCAGGCCGGAGTCACCGGGAAAAGCTCCCTGCCCGCCAGGACGCCCTGGGCACTGGGAGGCTGTGCAACCTGCCGACTCGAAGGCGGGATTACACAGGTAGGACATGGGACATAAGTGCCCCGTGGGGCGGCTTTCTTGGGGCTCCACCCCCGTCCGCCCCCATCCCTCCCTGCCGGGGCCTGGTCGCTAGGGGGCAGTGCTGCCCAGCCCTTCTCGGGGTGGGGGGGCACACGGGACCGGGCCCTGGACTGGGGAAGGGGACCCGGTTAGACCTGAATTTCAGATAAACAACAAATAACGTTTTTAGTGTAGGTGTGTCCCAAGTGGTGTACAGGACATATTTATGCTAGAAAATTCTTCCTCGATTATCTGAAATTCAAATCTAACCTGGTGCCCGTGTTTCTTCTGCTAACTCTGGCACTGCTACCTGGGGACAGCGTGGGGCTGGGGAGCCACCTCCCAGGAGCCGGGCGGGGCTGGAACTCCCGCTGGAGCTCATTAGCTGGGTCTTTCCGTGCCTGCTTGGGTCACCGGTCAGCCACACCCGGCCTAGGCCGTGACTCAAGCGTGTGTTTGGGTGGGGCAGGGCAGGTGCTGTTGGGGCTGAGCTCCTGGTCCTTGTCCTCTCACCTCTCACCTCTCACCCAGAGGAAGAAGGGCCTGGCTGACTCACCTCCACCCAGGACACTGTTGGGGGAGTGAAGGGAGAGGTGAGGGTAAAAGGCCAGAGAACTCGCTGTGCTCACTCTGCAAGGGACGGCTCCAGTCGCAGTTAGTGTTCTCCACAACCTCCAGCCTTTTTTTTTTTTTTTTTTGAGAGAGTCTCACTTTGTTGCCCGGCTAGAGTGAGTGGCCGTGGTGTCAGCCTAGCTCACAGCACCTCAGACTCCTAGGCTCAAGGCAATCTCTCCTGCTCAGTCCTCCCGGTTAGCCTAATGGGACTACAGGCATGCGCCACCATGCCGGCTATTTATATCTATTTATAATATATGTTGGCCAATTAATTTCTTTCCTTTATAGTAGAGACGGGGATCTTGCTTCTTGCCTCAGGCTGGTCGACCCTCGACCTCGAAGCAATTACTCCCGCCCGTCGCCCCAGAGTGCTAGGATTACAGGCGTGAGCCACAGCGCCCAGGCCCCCACAACCTCTAGCCTTGTGCAGTGCACAACCTGCACAGTGGGCTCCCCCCCCCGCCCCTCCCCCCCCGGTGGTCTGGTGTAGCTTCGCTTGCTTCCCTCTCTACCCAGGGGCCTGCCCTCATCTCCACCTGCTAGGCTCCACTCCCACTATGGCCTGTGTGCACCTGCTGGGGTTTCCTTGGTTACGAGGAATCTTACAAGGTTAAGTTAGGAATCCACCTGGAATTTAACCGGGTTCGTGATGCCAGGCGGGGGCTCCGAGTCACTTTTCCATCCTTCCGATGCTTCTGCTTGCCCCAGTGCCACCCACAGAACCACCGCCCTCTCGAGTGAGTTCGCATGTGCGTGCAGGGGTAGGGGCCAGGGCTCCGACACCCCCACCCCCGGATCCGCAGGGTCCCCGGGTCTCTCTGTCTCTGTGGGCGCTGGGCCAGCTCAGCGGCTCGGGACATCCTGCCTTCCCTGACAACGTTCCGTGGGCCGGCAGGCTCCACGCGGCCATGCCCCGTCTGGCCTTGGCAGGGAGGAGTCCTTCATTCCTTCAGCCATTCCTGCCTTCACCAAAGGCTGGGGCACCGGCCGTGGGGTGGGGGCAGAGAGGGAAAGAGTGGAGGGAAAGAGCCAGTGGAGTGGGCAGGCCGTGGGGTGGGGGCAGGAAGCCCCTGCTCTGTCACAGGGGCCCGGCCCGGCAGGACCCTGGGGACACTGGCTCCCCCGCACCCCCCCCCCACAGGCAGCACAGGTTCCCCCGGTGGAGGAGGACAGGGACGCCCAGGTGTGGCTCTGGCGCTGAGAAAGGGACTCAGCGGAGGAAGCTGGGGACGGGATCCAGGGGGCAGAGTCCAACAGCACGTTCCACCGGCCTCCTGGCCCCCTGACAGCCCTTTCTCGACGTCCTCTTGTTGGCCTCATTGACAGAGGAGGGACTGTGGTCTCAGCGGGGCAGGGCCCGCCCAGTCACAGCCAGTGGTGGCATCGGCCCCGGACTGGCTTCCACCACAGAGCTGAACTCCACCCCCAGCCGCCGCCGCCGGGTCTTGCGGGAGGCTGACCCTGTCCAGAGGAGAAAAGCTGCCCCGGGCCGGGGAAGCCTGAGCACCCAGGCGGGGTTGGCTGGGGCGCGTGGTCAGCGCTGCCCGGCGGGGCTGCGGCCGGCCGGAGCCACAGGAGGCTGGGCTGTCAGGCGCGTGGCAGGACGGTGGCCCGTGGCCAGGGGGAACAAGCTGCTCTCCAGGGCTTTGGCGGTCAAGCCATTCAGGGCAAGGGTGGAGGGAGGCGATGGCCTGACTGGCAGACCAGACCCTCGCCCCTCCCAGCGCCCTCCCTGCCCCCTCCCGCTTCTCCCTCCCTCCCCCTACAGGTCCAGCTGGGTCAGCCACGCGAGGGCTGGCCACACGGCGGAAGGCCCAGGGAGACCCAGAGACCAGAGCCGGGCTGGGGCCAGGATGGGGGTGATTTGCGCAGGGAGGGTCCCACCGCCCACTGCCCTCTTGCCTCTCCCCTTCCCTCTGGAGGGGAGAGGCAAGAGGGCAGAGGAGGTGCTGGCAGGTGAGCACCAGGCTTGGCACCTGCGAGACCGGGGCCCCAGGCGCAGCCCGTCAGCTGAGCCCGGCGGTGATGCCCGGGGCTGCCGGCTCGGCCTCCGCCCTGCACGCTGGCCTGGGAGTGGCCAGTGCAGCTGACAGCGTCGGGGATGCCAGCTGGGCCAGGGGTCAGGTGGCCCGAGTACTGTCACAGGCTCTGCTGATGGGCCTGGCGTCTGCTCACCACCAGCTGGAGGCCTTCAATCCTCACAACGCCCCAGGCCGCCATTTCGTCATCCCCTTTACGCAAACGGGAGACTGAGGCCCGGAGGGCCACGGGGCAGGGCCGGGCTGCCCGGCTTTGACCCTGAGTGCTTCACCCAGCACCAGGTGCCCCTGGGCGTCCCCTTGTCCTCTCGGCACCCCACTTCCTGTGTGGGCTCTGCAGATAGCTCCTGAGGCCTGAGTCTCGGCGTCAGGGCCTGTGCTCCGATGCTTCTTGTCTCGGGAGCCCCTGTCTCGTCCCAGGTCCCGCTCCTGCCCTGTGTCACTTAGACTCAAGTGTCGAAGGGCTGTGGCACAGCCCTTCTGGCTGGGGAGGGCTGGGCAGAGAGGGCCCCTGGCCCCCCGCCTGGAGCCTGCTCCCCTCTGGGCTTGGGCCGGCCCCGCCCTGGCATCTCTGCCACCTTTGTTCTGGCCTCTCAGCCCGGAAATCCTCCCAGGACACCCTCGGGGTGTCATGCTACCCCTTACCGCCACCCCAGCCTGTGACCCCAGAGCGCCGCTGGCCCCTGAGCCTGGGCGCCTCCCCCCGCCCCCCACTCCAGAGAGTGTGGCCCTGCCCTGCCCATGGCGGCCGGGAACCCGGCCAGGCTTCACCTCATCTATTTTTAAGCACAAGCCCATGAAAGATTCACAGGCTGCTTTATTCACAGGTGGCAGTGATGGCATCGTGCCCCGGGGTACAGCCCCGAGAGCCCCAGGCCACCCGGCTCCTCACAGACCCAATTCCCCGTGCTGCCTGCCCTGCCCCCGGCAGCCTCTGCCGCTCACACCTCCACCCCAGAGGGAGTGGGGCTCCCACCTGGTGCGGCTGGCCACCTCCCTGACCCTGTGGAGCCAGTGCTCTCCCTCCCTGGCTCCCCCACCACCTGTGTCCCTTTCTCCTGGGCAGGTTTGCAGGGGTTGGCAAAAGCAAGGCCACCCAGCTGCCTGTTTCCTCTTGGGCATGCAAGGCAAGGTGGGGCGAGCGTCCCCGTTTTATAGATAAGGAAACTGAGGCCCCGGTGCACTGGCTAGCTTGGAGTTAGAAGCCAGATGGACTGGATTTCAAAGGCTGGGCGCCCCGCCCTGCCCCTCCCAGCTGGCCCTTCTGGGGCCACACACTCTGTTTCCTGGACTTGGAGAGCCAGGCCCCGTCCAACCCAAGAGAAACACAAGGACTTACGTGCCCCACCCCAGTCTGGTGGAGCAGGCTAGGGGTGCTTGGGCGTCCGACTGGGCCGGCCTCACACTCACCCAACGGCATCTCCCCTCCCCTGGGCTAGGGCTCCTGCAGGCCTCAGGAGAGGTGTCACCTGTGTCACCTGGTGTCATGTGCTATCTGGCTGGGTCCCAGCAAATGCCCAGGAGGGCTCTCGGCTGTCCTTGGCTGGCCCTCTGGCCACCCACTCCACCACCAGCCCACCCCAACCCCCCACCCCTGGTGGCTGTGAGGACCGCAGGGGTCAGACAGGACGCCGGCCACCCCAACCCAGCAAACCCTGTTCCTCTTCCTTTCACCACCCTGGGGATAAACAGCAGACCCCTGCCGGCCCTGCTTGGCTGAGAAGCATCAATTTTAGAGCCGTATTGCTGCCAGCCCAGAAGATTCTCTGGGCTTCGCTTGGGGAACAAAGTTTTGTTAGCTCCCCAACTGCGGCCTACCGTAGCGCACTGAGCGAGTGTTCTCCGATGACACTCAGAGAGCCATGTCTGTCCCCAGCCTTCCCCAGCCCCAGCCTCCCTCCCCTCCTCGTTGGAGGCAAAGTGGGCGTTTTCTTCCCAGGCTTTTCCAAAGGGGGACAGAACTGGGGAGGCGGTGGGATTGGGACACAGCCCGAGGGGGCTCTCGGGCCTGGGGTTGGGGGCGTGCGGTGCCGGGTCCAGGCGAGAGAAGCAGCCAGTCTGTTGAAGCTGATGTGGAACTCGGGGGACGGCGGTGGAAGGAGACTGAACTGGAGGTGCCCCACTAGGTGTGACGCCCCAGCTGCAAGGCAAGTGGCAGACACTCTGCCTTCTCGGGGAAACAGGGAACTTGTGTCCCTGGCGGCCAGGCCCCTGCAGGGCACCCCACTTCCCCACCACTCACCTGAAGGGTGAGGTTTTTGTACTTATTGAAAACTTAGTACATCTTGCGGAGTGTGGGGGCGGCGGTTACGATGTCCCCTGACATATTTTAGGCACAGGTCACCTCGGTATCTGGAAAAAACAAGGGGTCAATAACAGACTCCCAAGGCCCTCGGGAGCGCTGGGCAGCTGTGGGCATTGCACCGACGGTAGCACGCACGGGGGCCCAGACCACCAGGTGAAGCCACCTGCTGGAACAGAAACCGAGTTTTACAGCTGCTCTCTGAGCACGTGACCCTGGAGGGGTGGGGACCAGGGCTGACACGTGCCCCTGCCCCAGTGAGCACCAGCCGCACCTGTGCCCAGACAGCTGGCACAACTGCAGAGCTGACCGACGTCCACCTCCAGCCCTGCACCAGAGAGTCCCTGGTGACACTCTGCTCCTGGCACCCAGTGCTGGGCACCCCTAGCCCCGCCCCCAAACTCCCCCATCTGCCAGCTTTTGCCCCTCCTGCCCCACCGGGCCCCAAAGCACCAGCTCAGTCTCCTCGCGGTGAGGGAACTGAAAAAGCCAGGGCTCCAGTGACCAGACAGGTGGCCACTGGCCACTTGGGAGCAGTTTGAGGGCCACTTTGTGTGGTGACCAGACTAGCATGGTGGTGGAGTCCTTGAGCCACCTTTACATGCCCTTGGGGGGCTGCGGTTTTGAACTGAGGGGCCTGTGGCCAGCCCCAGGTGGCAGGGGCTGCGGGGAGGTGGGAGGCACCTGGTTGGGCAAGGAGGCCCAGACCGTGGAGGCAGGCTCCCCCCCCACCCCCACTCGATGGCGCGAGGGTGGGAGCAAGGCCAGAGCCTCGGGGACCTAGCGGCCAGGGTGGGGGAAGGGAACGTCCTGGGGACACGCGCGCGCTTGCGGGTGCGGTGCCCAGGGCGGCGCCGGAGGTGGCGGGGTGGGGGGCGGGGCGCGTGGCCGCGGCGCCGAGCGGGTCCGCGGGCGGCGCACGCGGCGGGGCGGGCGGGCGCGCCCTAGCCCTCCGTGGCGCGCCGCCTCTCCGGGCACCGGCGCCCCGCCCGCAGCGCTTCGCAATAAGGGCGCGGTTGCGGGGCGGAGCGCGGCCGTCCGCGCGCGGCGGCTGGGCGCGAAGGGCGGCCGCGGCCGTGCCCGCCATGGATCTGGGGCCGGCTGACGCGCGCGGTGGCTGCTGCCTGCTGGCCTGCCTCCTGCGCCGCTGCGCCCGCGCCGCCGGTTCTCGCCGGGTCGCCTGTCACGCGCCGCCCTTCGTGCCTCGCCATGGTCCGCTGCGCGTGGCTCGGCCGTCTGCCTGCTGCGCCACGGCGGCCGGACGGTGGACAACATGAGGCAAGGGCCGGGCCGGGCCGGGGGGGGGGGGGCGCGCTTCCCTTCCGCTTCCCGAACTTTCTTCTGCCTTTCCCTCCTTCCTGCCCCGCCCGCCGCCCGCGGGCTCGCGGCTCTCGGGCTCTCGGGCGGGCGCGGGGCGGGCGCGGGGCGGGCGGGGACTCCCGGAGCTGGCGTCACAGTGTCCTCGCGCCCGCCCTCGCCCGCCGGGCATTTGCTCCGTCACGTGTCGTCGGGTCCCTGCGCCCGCAGCGGGGGGCCGGGCGGCGGGCGGATTTCCCAGAGAGGCGCCGGCCGAGCTGAGAGCGCCTCGGTCCTGCCATGTTCGCGGGGAAACCGAGGCCGCGTCGGCGGGGACCTGTCCCCGGGTCCCTGGTCGGGGCGCCCGTCGACCTCTCTCTGCACTCCTCCTGCCCACCGCCAGGTGATGGATGCACCTGTGCGCAGGCGCCGTGGCAGGTTCCTCTTTCCTGCCCCTTCCTCCTCTCGGGAAGCCGGGGAGGGGCTGGGGGTTCCTGGAGTCCAGCTTCCTAGCAAAGGGAAAGAAGGGGGCGGCGGCTGAAAGTTCCCTCTGGACTTGGCTTTGCCAGGCGGGGCGTGGGGTAGGGTCAGGCGGGGTTGCCCAGAACAGTTGGAAGTTGCTGGGGGTGGGGGTAGTTAGGACAAGGCGCCTTCCTGCCCTCTTTCCTTGTTTGCCCCCCTGGGGGGCTGTTGCTACACTTCTCTCTGCCCCATTTGGACTGCCCAGCGGGTGGCTTTTGCAATGGCCTCTTGGTGGCAGCCTGGTGTGGGGCCCTGAGGTCCCCACCTCCCCCTGTGGTCACAGGGCAGTGGGTGTGAGTTTCCTGGCCTCCTGCCATCTGTGTCCTGGCCAGTGGCTGGGAGAGGCTACTGCTAGAACTGGCCCATATGCCATGGGCCCCCAGGCCAGCCTCGGGCTAGTGGCTTCCCATGGAGCCCCCAAGAAGCCCCAGGTATACAGGGGGATGGTGGTGCTGTGGGGAGTGAGGACTCGGTGCAGAGGGCTGGGTGGGTGTTCAGTGGGACATTTGTGTGTGTTCTCGGTGGCCTGCCCCTGTGCCATCCTGAGGGGCCAGGCCAGTGTCCCAGGGAGCACAGATTCCAGGGCCAGCCCAGGTGTTCAGTCGCAGCAGGTTCCACACGTAGAGAGCCCTGCAGAGTGGGCAGGGCCTGTTTCCAGGGGCTGGGCACCCTCTGGGCTCGGCCCCAGGGCAGGCAGCTGGAGGCCCAGGGCCCTGGGGTCTCCCTGGGAGGAGCCTCCACTTAGCACCTGCTGCTCCAGAGCCGGGGGGAACCCAAGTGGGTTCAGGCAGCTCCAGGCCAGGGGACGGTGGGGCCTGCTGTGTCCTGGGGTGCAGGCAGGGGGTGCCCTAGCTTAGGAGAGCCTGGAGTGGGCTCCCCACTTCCGAGCAGGCCCCTTCCTTGCATTTAAAGGCCCGACTTGCCCTTCGTGGCTTCTGCCTGGACCCCAAAGCCACTTCCAGGGGCCGAGTCAGAAGTGGTGGCCGGACTTGGCAGGCTGCCTCCAGCCCTCCTGCCCCACTGACCCTGTCCCCCGCTCAGCCCAGAGGTTCTGGCCAGCTAGGGTGTCCTGCCCAGGACCCTGGGGGCTGTGGTGGTGCTCAGATGGGGCCTTCCTGCCACCCTCCCCGCCCCTGGCAGCACCAGCGTCTGGGACATACATGCTTTGTTCCTGCTGGCATGTGGGTACAGCAGGTGCTTTGTTCCTGCTGGCATGTGTGTCCCCCAGGGAGAAGGGAGGGCTGGAGGGTGGGGCAGGCCTAGGGGAGGCTTGGGATTCCACAGCCTCCTGCCCCCGCACCCTGGGTCCCGGGGCCCTATGATGACACCCGTGACTCCCAGCAAGGCTGGGGGGCTCCCCAAAGTGTGGGGCCCTAGGGAGGGGTCAGAAATGCAGAGAATGGGAAGGGACCAGGAGGATGGGGGCTGGAGAGCTGTGGAGAAGCAGCTGCTTGGGGACAGGCTGCCCACCCCTCATTTCAGGCCCCCTGTGGTCTGGGACAGCCCGTCTGTGCCTGCTGGGGCACCGCAGGCGCCTGGCGACCTTGGTCGCGGGCTCCACCTTACAGACAAGGGGACGCAACTTGCAATTAAGGCCAGGGGTGGTGCAGGGAGGAGAGGGTGATCCCCCAAGGTCCCTGAGTCAGGACATGGCAGAACTGGGAAAGATTCGAACCCACGGAGGGCGACTCCAGACTGCCTGCTTTCCTGTGCCCAGCCCAGGACTAGAGGCTGAGGGTGCAGCCCTGGGGCTGCTGCAGGGCTGGGGGTGGGGTGTTCCAGCATCCCTGAGCTCTAGGGGGGGCAGCCCCACTCTGCACCATGCCCCCCCAACATCCCATCCTCCCCGTGAGCCGAGACTGCCATGGCTGGGGCTGGCCCCTCCCACGGGGTTCCAGGTGGGGGCCTTTGCATTTGGATTGGAGTCCTGAGTGTGTCAGGACCGGTGATGGGAACAGGACAGCGCAGGCAGACTGCCTAGGGCCGGGACCAAGGACCCTGCTGGTGGCGTCCGCCCCTGTGTGCAGGGCTAGGGTGGGACTACAGGCCACGTTTCCTCATCCCAGGGGCAGACAGACACCCTTGTTCCATCGTGTGACAGAGGACAGGGAAGACCTGGGACGCTGTGTGTAGTCGAGTTGGGTTCAGCTGCAGGATCAGGAAACCCTAATAACAGGGGCTGAACGAGAGTTCACTTTATCGTGCGCCAAAGGATGCCAGCGCGGCAGCCGGCCCCTTCGCCCCAGCAGCCTCGGGCCCAGAGCGAGGCAGGAGAGGAAAGGGCGCCCTCCCCATGCTCTGTGCCCACACGAGGCCAGGACGGAGTGGCCATGACAGCCCTAGCTGCAGGGGTGTCCACACTAAACCTCGAGGAAGGGAGAACGGGCTCGTTCTGGCCGCAGCGCCCAGAGGACTTATCTGTTGGTCACGGTAGGAAGCCAGAAGGGCTCAGCCTCGTGGTCAGAATTGCCAGCCACCGCGTGGCCCTGGGTCTCCTGACAGAGGCACGAGACACAGAGCCCTCCCTCGTCACGGCTCTGGGGGCCTTGGTTCTCCTGGGGTGTCACGGGGGACAGACTCCGTCCCACAGGCCCAGAGGCTGGCGCGCTCCTGAGCCCTGGCGTCCAGGCCCTCCCTGCTCCTTGGCAAGGGCTAGGAGGGCTCCCCGGCCCTCTCTGGGCAGAGCCGAGGCCTGGCCTGGGGGTCTGGCTGAGGACCGTGGGCCTCGGCCCACAGAGCTGCCTGGGGCTCCTGAGAGAGGCCCAGCCCAAGACCAGGAGCTGAGGGCAAGGGTCAGAGAGTGGCCTTCGTGGGCACGGCTGGGCCAATAGCCTGGGCCCTGGCCTTGACCCACCTCCCGGCCACCTGGAGCGAGAGCGTAGGGAGGTCAAGTGTGTTGCCCAGAGTCATAGCTGGGAAGAAGGCAGCCAGGACCGCGGTCCCAGTCTGTCTGAGCCAGAGCCCGGGCTTGGGAGCAGCCGGGGTGTCCGGGGGCCAAGCTCCTGCAGACCCAGGGTCCCCATCACCACCTCGGGGCGAGGAGGAGAACACGGGAGATCTGTGCTCAGTCACTGCCCAGGACGTGCCCACGACTTGCGACGGTGACCACAACTCACCTGCACGCCCATGCCTCGGCGCATGGGGGGAAAGGCTCGGGCTGCGTCCAGAAGGGTCTGTGCCATTTGTGGCACTTGGTTCGGGATGGCCATCCTGGTCCGGGGCTGACTGGAAGGCTCCGGAGTGAGGCCCAGGCAGGACAGGGAGGGACCTCGGGCTGCTCCGGGTGCGAGTGCCAATGGTGCAAAGCTGGTCCCCTCACCCCCCTGGCAGCGGTCAGCAGCGCTTCTGGCACGCTGGGCTGGGCCCTCTGCACGTCCTGGGCCCATCTGGGCTCTAGGTGGGCTTGGCTTTACCTATAGCCTGAGGTGCACCTTCCCTGGGGTGCCCTGGGGCGGTGGGGAGCCCCTGTGTGGCGTTAAGGGCCGGAGGGTGTGGGGCCACAGTGATGTCTGCTACAGACTTTGAGGCCCTGGCTCCTTTTGGGGCAGAGGACAGGGCTGTCCCCCAGGGCCCTGTGGTTGCCAGGAGGAGAGCTCAGGTGAGCTGGGGTGTTTGGACACAAGACAAAGCCTGGGGCGGCTGCTCTGGCCACCTTGAGCTTCCTGCCGGGACAGCCCGGAGCAGACTTCTCAGCCAGCCGGGGCGACAGCCTCTCGTCCTGCAGTCCGGAAGCCCCCCCCTCGTGCCCTCTGCCCTGCAAGTCCACCCAGCTCGGGAGAGGAGGTGGGCTCAGGCCCATCCTGCTTCCCTAGTAGGTGACCTGGGGCGAGTCACCTCCCTGCCTCACCTGTAGAGCAGTGTAATGACCGTACCTACCTGTGCTGGGCACAGCCGGGGGTGGCATTTCTGTTCCTGCCTCTGGTTAGAACCGCTTCCTCCCCAGGCTCCCCAGGTATGTCTGCAGAGTTCAGCGCGAGCCTCTCTCTTTGCAAAACGCCCAGCGTGGACACACATACCATGTTTCCCCGAAAATAGGACGTACCCATAAAATAAGCCCTAAGCGGGATTGCTAAGCATGTGCCCGATAGAAGCCCTACCCTGAAAATAAGACCTAGTGACGGGCGTGGCTACGCAGCGCATCTGCACAACCCGTGCATTTCGTCACGGAGCGGTAAAGAAGATGAGTGGCCCTTCTCACCTGCCCCGTGAGAGCTCTATGGCTCGACAGGAGAGATGGGGGCCGATGGTTCTAAAGGAAATAGAGTCGCAAGACATTCAGGATGGAATTCGGGGTTTGGAGAGTATGTTCCAGAAGACGACGACTTAACTCTATTTGAATAAATGTAGGTGGTTATGCCGTACTTAAAAAAATAACACATCCCCTGAAAATAAGCCCTAGGGTGTCTTCTTCAGGAAAACTAAATATAAGACCCTGTCTTATATTCGGGGAAACACGGTACTCACCACCACTGCCATAGAAAACCTTGAAAATACAGGACGTTCAGGGAAGGAAAATCTGGTGGTCCCGTGTGTGCCACCTGCAGGTGGCGCTGTGTCCCCTGGAGGACACTTACGTGGCCTTTCTGCTCCCAGGAGGCACCTCCGCTCCCAGGCCCACGGACCAGCTGTGCCCCGCGCTCGCGGTGACTTGGACAGTCATGGAGAACGGCTGCCCGGTGCCCCCACTGCCCGCCGGCTGTCCGTCCTGGGGACAGGGTTTTTGCACAGTATCTTTCACGGGCAAAAACCTGACAGGGCCGGGCGGGGAGGCTCACACCTGTCATCCTAACACTCTGGGAGGCCGAGGCGGGCGGATTGCTCAAGGTCAGGAGTTCGAGACCAGCCTGAGCAAGATTGAGACCCCGTGTCTACTGAAAATAGAAAGAAATTAATTGGCCAACTAAAAATATATAGAAAAAATTAGCCGGGCATGGTGGCGTATGCCTGTAGTCCCAGCTACTAGGGAGGCTGAGGCAGGAGGATCGCTTGAGCCCAGGAGTTGGAGGTTGCTGTGAGCTAGGCTGATGCCACGGCTCTCACTCTAGCCCAGGCAACAGAGCGAGACTCTGTCTCAAAAAAAAAAGTGACAGGACCTGACCAACACCGTCAACAGCACAGGCAGTCCAAGTGTCAAATGAAAAGAGAGAAGGTCGGGATGGACGGAGGTCAGGGCTGCGTCCCAGCGTGCAGGCGCTAATGCCACGGACCGTGTACTTAGAAACGGTTAAAACGGTCAAATGTATGTTACGTGTATTCTACCGCGATGAACAAAAGAGAGAAAAGGAAACTGGCAAATGCCATTGTCAGAGAGAACCACGTCCCATTTCCGGACGTGGCCGGAGCGTTCTCCCTGTGCACCGGGGCGTGGGTGGGTGTGCAGGTGAGTTTGTGGTCCCTGTCGTAAGTCGTGGGCACATCCTGTGCAGTGACTAAGCACACATCTCCCGTGTTCTCCTGCTCGCCCCGAGGTGGTGACGGGGACCCTGATTTGCTCTGCCCGTCCCTGCCGGTGGACACCCAGGCGTGTTCAGGTGTCCCTAGTTCAGACCACACTGCAGTTTCTCCAGACCGCCTCACTGCTGCCTTAGGGCAGGCGTGTGGAAGAAGATCGTGGGATCAGAGACACCAGGTTGCTTCAGGGCTCTCGTGGGCCCCGCAGGGCCCTGCGGGAACGTCCGTGCCTCTGTGGCGGCCTGCGCCAGTGGCTGGCCCCGTTCCAGCGTCCTGCCCAACGACGCTTCTTGTAATCAGGCTTTCTAATCTGTGCCGGTGGGAAGGATGAAGACACAGTTTCCTGTTCCAATTTGCATTTCCTTGGCGATGCAACCGGGTTATTTTCCTTATTTGGTGGACTTCTATGCTTTGTCTGTTTCGTGAATCGCAGGCCTCGATGGTCTCCTTCAGTCCGCACGGGGATCCAGGGAGCCGGGTCCCGCGGATGCAAACACTGAGGCAAAGCCTCCTGGCGGCAGGCGGTTCTCCCGGCAGGTTCTCCCGGTTCTGCCAGGACCTGCCAACCCCGGCCTGCTCTCTGAGTGGGAGGGGGACAGGGGGTGGTCTGGCCTGGAGAGAGGTGCCCGGAGCTGGCTGAGGCTGGCAGATGTGAGGAGGGGCCCAGGCTTCCAGATCCAGGGAAGGATGGCTCACTGAGACTCAGTTTCCCCCGTCTGCAAACGTGGGTGATGAGAGTTGACCTTCTCACTGCAGGTGTGACAGGTGCAGCTGGTTAGGAGTCTGGTGTGCAGACACAGAAGGACAAATCCTGTGCGATGCCACTCTCAGGAGGTCCCCAGAGTCGGCAGACCCATAGAGATGGGAAGTAGACAGATGGGGGGAGTGGAGTCTGCGTTTCATGGGGACAGAGTTTCAGTTTGGGAAGATGGAAGGTTCTGGAGATGGATGGTGGTGACCACGGCTGCACAGCAATGTGCATGTGCTTGCTGCCACTGAACTGTGCACCTTAAAATGGTGAAGATGGGGCCGGGCGCGGTGGCTCACGCCTGTAATCCCAGGACTTTGGGAGGTCGAGGCAGGAGGATTGTTGCGAGCAAGAGCGAGACCCCGTCTCTATGAAAAGAATAGAAAATTAGCCGGACGTATGCCTGTAGTCCCAGTTAATCTCGGGTGGAGGCTGAGGCAGGAGGATCGCTTGAGCCCAGGAGTTTGAGTGAGCTAGGATGACACCACTGCACCCTAAGCTGGGGCCACAGAGTGGGAGTCTGTCTCTAAAAAAAAAAAATTGGTGGACGATGGCAAATTCTTCATACGTTTTTGTGTATTTTTATACCACAATTGGAAAAAAAACCAGTCTGGTTTTGGGTGAAGAAGCCAGCTCTGAATCTCTGCTTTTCGGAGAAAGCTCCGGGACTGGGCAGTTACTTCGCCTTTCTCTATAAAGGGGGCCTCTTCCCTAGGGTGGGGGCCGCGCTAATCTGTGTGGAGCGTGGAACACGGTTGGTAGCCCCGCACATCCCTGCCCCATCCCCACCCCCAACTGCAGGGGACAGGAGGGACCCAGGGGTCCTGCCAGGAGCTCGCACCATCCGGCTCTGTCACCCGCAGGCCGACCCCCCATAAGCAGATGTCCCTGCTCTCCTCTGGCCGGGCCAGTGCCCGCGGGAAGTCCTTCGGGTGGCAGGGCTGCGTGCGGAGACTTAAGGTGCCCCTTGCACCGGCCTGGTCCCGGCCGTTGTGGGCTGCTTGGCGAGGCCACCTTGAGGTCGCAGGTTGCCCGGGGCAGCCCCCAGCGAGAGACTGGCCACCTGCCGGGAGTGGGGGCTCCCGGGGTGAAGGGGCTCAGGTCTCGGGACCCGAGGGTGTGCCGGCTCTGCTCCTGCTCTCAGCGTGGCCACGCAGGCCTCGGGGCCGTCCCGGGCCTGCTGCTTCCCGGGAAGAGGGAGCCCGAGGCCCGTGGGCAGGAGGGGTGAGCAGGGAGAGCAGCGCCTCTGGGTGTCTGGCCGGGGAGCCCCTCGGGGTGGCCCTTCCCTTTGCTCCTTGCAGAGGTCTCCGCTTGGCTCTGACGCTTTCTTCCTACCTTGAGGGGGACGGTCACTCCCTTCGGTTGGGTCTCCTCCTCCCACAGGGTGTCTGTCCCCCCCCCCCGCCCCCCTGCTGTAGGGGTGTAGGGATCCCTGCACTCCTTCACCTGGGTGAGAACCAGCCCAGCCCCCTTCCAGCAGGGCACCACCTGGCTGCCAGGCGCACCCCTCTGGGAGGGGGAGGCCGGGCAGGCCCTGGGGAGCGGGCTCCTTCCCGTGTGCCAGGCGTCTGACCTCCAGGGGCTTACTCGTCTTCCCTGACAGCTGGGGAGACTGAGGCAGGGCAGCAGCCCGCAGGTGGGCGAGCCAGGCCCCCAGGGCTGTCTCCACTGCGTGTCGCTGTCCCCCCCCCACCCCCGGCCTGGGCTCAGGCCCTGGGGCCTCAGTGCACCGTCCCCTTGCCCTCAGCATCATCAGCTGGTTCGTGCGAGGCTTCAAGTACGTGTACGGGCTGCGCTTCAAGGTGAACGGCCGGCAGAAGCTGGAGGTGGACCAGCCCTGTGTCATCGTCTCCAACCACCAGAGCATCCTGGACATGATGGGTAGGCCGGGGCATGGGGGTCTGGCGGCAGGGGCCGCAGGCTCAGCCTGGAAAGCGTGGGGGGTGGCGGGGCAGCTCGGAGGAGCCAGGGGTGGGGCTGACACAGGCAGGGGACCTGTGAGTCCCTCCCTCCCCGAGCTGGGCACTGAGAACAGGAGGCTGGCAGTGCCGGCGGGGCACAGGGCCCGCCACGCCCTCACGCCGGGAGCTCTGTGTCAGCACCCCCGCGGGGCAGGAGGACGCCTTGCCCAGAGAGCCGGGGGCAGGCGGGATCCCAGCCAGGCACAGGCCCTTCCTCTCCCCCCAGGCCTCATGGAGATCCTGCCCAAGCGCTGCGTGCAGATCGCCAAGCGGGAGCTGCTCTTCCTGGGCCCGGTGGGCCTCATCATGTACCTGGGGGGCGTCTACTTCATCAACCGGCAGCGCTCCAGCACCGCCATGACCGTGATGGCCGACCTGGGCGAGCGCATGATCAGGGAGAACGTGAGTCCCGGCCGGGGTCTTCGGGGGAGCGGGGCTGTCGGTCCCCCAACAAGTGGGGCTCCTTAGGCGGGGAGGGGGCTGGCCTCCCGGGGCCGTGGGTGCAGCCCGGTGGCAGCAGCTCTTCTCTGCCCTGCAGCTCAAGGTGTGGATCTACCCCGAGGGCACGCGCAACAACAATGGGGACCTGCTGCCTTTTAAGAAGGGCGCCTTCTACCTGGCGGTCCAGGCCCAGGTAGGCCAGGCCTCGGCCTCACCGGGTGGGCAGGGGGTGGGAAGTGGGTCCAGGTTGGCTGAAGGCTGAGGGCGATTGCCCAGCCTGGCTGGGGGTCGCTGGCACTCAGGGACCTGCCACTGAGTGGGGACAGGGCCTCCGCCAATGCCTGGTCCCCTGACCCGCCAAGGAGGGCAGCCCCTGCTCCCCCACGCTGAGCGGTGAGGCCTGGGGCCTGAGAGGCCGGCGGCACTTGGTGGGCACCTGAGCTCTCGGGCTCTAGCCCCCACTTTGCAGGTGGCTGGTGGGTGACCTGCCCGAGGTGGGTGGGGTAGGAGGCGAGGGCAGGAGGCTGGTGGGGTGATGCTGCTCCCGATCACTGGGGTGGGGTCGGGAGTGGGCAGCGGGTCCGGACAAGCAGGGCGTTCGGTGTGGGGCACGGGCGGCCTGGGTAGAGGAGCAGTGGGCTCCGCCTCTGCGCCCGGGGCTCTCTGGTCCTCAGCATCCAGGGGTGCAGCTTGTCCTGGGGTGTCTGGGAGGGGCTGGGGTGTGTCCATCCATGGAGTGGGGTCTCCTGGTGGGTGACAAGTGCCTGTGCCACCCCTGCCACTGTGCTGGGAGATTCACGTCAGGCGAAAGCCGTTGTCTGGGATCAGGCCTTAGAGCAGGGGTCTCAGCCTGTCCTCCTGTGACAGGTGGCCTCGCCCTGTGCGAGGCCCCGGGAGCCCTCTTCTTTTTTTTTTTTTTTTTGAGACAGATCTCACTTGTTGCCCAGGCTAGAGTGAGTGCCGTGCATCAGCCAGTCACAGCAACCTCAAACTCCTGGGTTCAAGCCATCCTCCTGCCTCAGCCTCCCGAGTAGCTGGGACTACAGGCATGCGCCACCATGCCAGTAATTTTTTTTATATAATTAGTTGGCCAATTAATTTCTTTATATTTATAGTAGAGACGGGGTTTCGTTCTTGCTCAGGCTTGTTTCGAACTCCTGACCTTGAGCGATCTGCCCGCCTCAGCTTCCCAGAGTGCTGGGATTACAGACGTGAGCCACCGCGCCCGGCCCAGAGAGCCCTCATTCTGGGGGCCCCCAGCTACGGCCATGGAGGGCAGGAGTTCTGGACTCTAGTCCCAGCTTTGCCCAGCAACCTCCTCCTGTTGTCAGGGGCCCCGGGATGCAGGGCGCACCTGCTGGGCCTCGGGCTGATGTCACTTCCGCGTGGGAGGTGGGAGGGAGAAGGGGCCAGGTTGGTAGGTCCTGAGAGGAGAGACAGGCCAGGTGGCGTCAGCCGGCAGACTGGCGCACTTCCTGCCCTCCCCATCGGTCTCTGGGCTGCAGCCTACCTGCCAGTGCCCTGGGGCTCCCTGCCCGCCTGGGTTAATGATCAGCTCCAGGTGCCTGTCCCTGTCTGCTGTGACGCTGGTGTCTTCCAGGAACACAGCAGGCTCCACCCCTCCCTGGGCCAGAGCTGCCCCCCTCGTCCCTGGGGTTGGGGAGAGGACAGGAAGGGAGGGCCGGGCAGGGAAGACCTTGGTGACCTCTCCCAGCTAAACGGGACAGGGCCCTGCGCCGCAGCTAATGTTATGGCCCAGCAGGGGACAGACGTGAGCCCGACAACACACGTGCTAGCTCGGGCGGGCTGGACCGCCCGGGGCGTGGCGGCGTGCCAGGCTCCAGAGGTCAGGTGTGGGAGGCCCTGGGCCAGGTGCCAGGACTGCTGGGGCCAGCGCAGGTGGGCAGGCGGGTGGAGAGGCAGGGCCGCGCTCGGCCGGGGGGTGAGGGCTCACCCCAGTGCCGCGTGTCCCTGCCCGCAGGTGCCCATCGTGCCCGTGGTCTACTCCTCCTTCTCCTCTTTCTATGACACCAGGACGAAGCTCTTCACCTCAGGTACGCGCCACGCGCCCCTGGGCACTCGCCCTGACCGTCCCCCTCTGGGTGGCTGCAGTGGGCCAGACCCCAGCCACACAGTAGCCATGTGGTGAATGAATGAATGAATGAATGAATGGATGAACCAACCAGTCTAGAGTCCCAGCTACGGGCTGGCATTGCTTCCTGTCATTCACCCTTCCCAGTGGCCCTGGGAGGTGGGTGGGAACTGAGGCTCCAAGAGGGTGGCCGCGTGGCGGAGTGTACACAGGTGGGCTGGGCCCACAGCCCCGGGGGCGGCTGATGAGCCCGTGTGTCCCGGCTCCCCACGTGGGCACGTGGGACCAGGGCAGCCCAGGCCAGCGGCCTCCCAGGCACCCCCCGCACTGGCCAATGGGCTTGGGGGCCTGCCCTTCCATCCAGACAGGGTGCCCTGGCCCCTCCTGAGAAGGTGGGGTCAAAGGTCAAAGGGTGGTGGGGAGGAGCCAGCTCTCTCCCACACCGGAGACCCCGCAGCCCCCCGCCCTCCGTGGAAGATGGGGGCACACAGTGGGGTGGGGCTGAGCAGAGAGGGGCCCAGCCGAGGGAACGTTCTGGGGGTGGGGGGAGACACGTTCTGGGTGGCGGGCGCTGTTCACAGTGGGGCATGGTGTTGTCAAAACCCACCAAGCACATGCCACGGGCTGCGCGTTTCGCCATGTCAGTATCGCCTCAATTAAAAACAAGCTGGGGGCCAGCAGGGGCCGGGGTCAGAGCTCCCTGGGGAGGGGGCAGGGCGGCCCCGGGAGAGCAGAGGCTGCCCCCGGCCGCTGACGCCCACCGCCCCCATCCCAGGGACAATCACGGTGCAGGTGCTGGACGCCATCCCCACCAGCGGCCTCACGGAGGCGGACATCCCCACGCTCGTGGACACCTGCTACCAGGCCATGAGGAGCACCTTCCTGCACATATCCAAGCTGCCCCAGGAGAACGGGGCCGCCGCAGGGCCCGCTGTCCAGCCAGCCCAGTAGCCTGGGTCGTGGGGCGGGGCAGGACCTGGAGAGGGTGGGCGGGCAGAAGGCGGCTGGAGGACGCACAGGGACCCTTGCCCATGCTGCCAAATATCACTGTGTCTGGCTCCCCGGCTCCCCCGGCTCTCATTCGGGCCCTGGAAGCAGGAAGCCCCTTCTTCCGCTGACCTCAGACCCAGGCTCTCCACGTCCCCTCCAGGAGAACCAGCCGGACCCTCCCGGGCTCTGAGGCGGGGACTCGCCCACCGTGTACCTCCAGGGTCTGGGATGATGCAAAACCAGGCCTGAGGCTGTGGCCTGCAGGTGGGCTGAGAGGTCCTCAGGACAGCCCAGTGGCCCTGGGGACAGCCGGGGTGCCCGGGTCTGGCTGCCCAGGGCCCGCCAGGGGCAGAGTTGGGTTCTAGGTCCGTGCTGTGGCCTGCATCAGGCCCTCAGGGAGAGGAAGGGGCTCGGGGGGTCAGGACTCCCGGCCGCATGCACCCTGGACCACAGGGAGCCGGAAAGCGGGGTCTGCTGTTGCCCCGGCCCCGAGGACCTGCGGGTCAGTGTTGCACTTGCTATTTTTGTAAAGGAACCTTGGAAGTAACTGCGTGCTGTGGTCACTCAGGGTGGGTGGGGCTGCCTCAGGCCTCTGACTAGGGATGTGTGTGTGTCTTCCGGGCTGCTGCCTCCAACCCCCCAGACTGTGGGGCCAGCTGCCCCCCAGGGCCCAGGTACAAGCACCCCCATCCCTGCACAGAGCTCCCTTCCAGGGGCAGGCGTGAAGGCATGGGCGAGGCACTGTCCCTGTGGCTCCCAGAATCCACCTGCTCCGGCCCCTCTTGGAGATGGAGGACCCAGGCCTTGAGGTGCCCCTGGAGCCCCCTCGTTCTGCCTGCTGCCTTCTTCCCCGCCCCCTTGCCAGCCGGCACTAGGTAGTGGGCCCGGGTGGAGTGGCCAGGAGAGGGTGGGCACAGCCCCCAGTGCCAGGTGGAGGGGGCTCCTCTCCCCAGGCCCCCAATCCTTCCATTGACACAGCAGCTCAAGTCTCGATTTTATTCTGACAAAAACCAGGGCAGAGTACCCCCCAGCCCCCCGCAACCCGGCTGCTGCCTCCAGACAGGCTGCCCAGTGGCTGCCACCGGTCCCTGGCTCTGGGCAGGGAGCCTCGTACCGTCCCTGCGCCCCCCAGGGCCCTGGGAAGCTGTCGGGGTTGTCAGGGTGGATTCGCACAGAAGACCCCCCAGCCCACCCCGTGCCTCGGTCCAGGGAACCACCTGCGCCAGGGGAGAGGAAAGGAGAGGGCCCTTCCCGCCTTCCGCCAGGGCAGCCGGCTCGGTCCGGCCTGGGTCGAGAGTCAGGCCTTGGCAGGGCCAGTCACGACTCCTTGTTGCAGGAGCCTAGGGTCAGAGGAGGGTCTGAGGTCAGAGGTCGCAGCTCCAGGCCTGTGGCCACCCCGCCCCATGGGGGTCCCAGGCTCCTGGGTGCTCTGGGCGCGTGTCCGGCACTCACAGGACCCCAACTGCTCCTCTAGGAAAGAGATCTGCTCGCTCAGGGAGTCGATGCGGCCCAGCTGCTGCAGGGAGTGTGCCAGGAGGCTGCCGGGGTCCGGGAGCCCGTGCTCCAGGGCCTGCGAGGCCAGGCTGTGCAGCGGCGCCAGCAGCAGCTGCAGCTTCTGTGGGGGTGAGCGAGGTGGCATGACCCGGGGCCAGCAGCTTACCCTCTGTTCCCCGGGAATCTAAGAACCCTGCCCAGGGACCTAGCTGCAGGGCTCTGGGTGTCCACTGGAGGGGTCGCGGGCCCTGGCCAGTGGGAAGATTGGCAAGAGCACTTTGTCCCTGTGGACAGAGGCAGGGGATGAGCCCTGGGCCTGGGGGGCGCCAAGCTCGGCTCCTCCCGTCCTGGGGTCCCAGTGGCTGGCCGGCTGCCCCTGCCAGGTGTGGCAGCCAGGCAGGGCCCTGGGCTGTCGGCGGCAAGGAGACCTCCCTGGGACCAGGGTCTTTGCAGACCCCCCCAGCCCCAGCCCCAGCCCCGTGAACCCTACAGCCATCCTGCGGGTCGGAGCCACGTCCTGAGGACCACAGAGAGTGGTGGGCCTCGCCCTGGCCCGGCCCTCCACTGTCACCAAGGAGCTGGCTGCCGAGAGGGCTGGTGCGGCCCCACGCCCTGGGCTCACCTCCTCCAGCAGGTCCACCCTCGACTGCAGCCGCTGCACTTCCTCCTTCACCGCGCTGTCTGCTCCTAGGGGCAGAGCCAGGCCTGCATGAGGGGGGCTGGCACCCCCACGCCCGTGGCCTCTGATCTGGAGGGGCTGGCCCCGGCCACGGCTCCAGCCATAGGGCAGAGCCAGGGCACAGTCTCAGGCCCGTGGCCAACCCCACTGTCCCCCAGGGGCTGGCCTGGGGGTCTCGGGCCCTGCCCCCACCCGCACGCCGTGCTGTGTGGCCCTGCGCGTCCGGGGTGCGGGGTCCCGGCTGCACTACGGGCGGTCCGAGCCGAGTCCGAGCTGCGCTCTTGGGTGCCGGGCTGCCGACGGCGCATTATTACTCACGGTACGAGTTTGAAGTGTCACAGCGCGTACCAAAAGTAATAATGTCCCGTCACCAGCAGAGATGCGTCTTCCAGGCTGCCAGCTGGCACACGGACGGGACCCCAGGTGGGGCCTTTCACTTTGTTGGCTGAGATGAGGCCCCCACAGCCCTGGAGAAACCCTACCGGGGACCCACCTGCCTTCCACCCCGTGACAGCCGCCCACCAGCCGAGTGCCTGGCTCACCCCTGCTGCACCCCCCCACAGATGCCTCACCCCTGCTGCACCCCCCGCAGAGCCTCAGGGTGACGCACACCCACCTGCCTGCTCCCCTACCCAGACACAGCCGCAAGGGGGGCGAGGTTACCTGTCATGGGGCTTGGGGCCACCCTGGGGGGCCCTCCCTGGGGCAGGCAGAGAGTACCGTCTGCAGACGGGCTGTGGCCCTCCCAGCCCTGGCACCAGTAACTGCCCTCCGTGTTGACGCAGCGCTGGGGACAGCCGCCCCCTCCGGTGCTGCACTCGTCCACATCTGCAGGAAACGGGGGCGTCAGATGCAGCAGGAGGGGTCGCACGCATACAGACCCCCTCGAGACACCCTGTTAATAACGGGCCGCCGTTTTGCCCAGCAGCGACCCCAGGACACGCCAGCAGGCGCCAGGAGACCTCTCCCGGGCCCCCTCCCCTGCCAGGGGGCAGAGCCAGCCTCACCTGACTGGCAGGTGTCACCCTGCCAACCTGCAGGGCAGCGGCAGCGGCCTGGCTGGACACAGCTCCCTCCGTTCTGGCATGGCGGCTGGCACACTGCTGTGGGTGGGGAGGCCAGTCACTGCCTCGGAGGGCCCCCGGTGCTCCGTGGGGGTGCAGCCAGGGCGGGGGTGCTCGGCAGCCGGGACGCACCGCGCTCAGGGTTACAGGGGAAGGAAGCAGCGGCCTGGGGTGGCTTCCCTCCCAACCGGCCTGGGCGCTGCAAGGGCGCTGCCCTCACCTGCCGAGCAGGCCCCGGGGAGCCCGGCGGTCCCGGCGGTCCTCTTCCAGCCAGGGCAGCAGGCGTAGCGCGGCCGGGTGGGCGCCGGGCCCGGGCTGTGGCGGTAGGCGGTCCTATAGAGGGTTCTGTGGGGCGGGCAGGCGGCTCAGAGGGGCAGCACGCCCTCCCCATCTGCCGCCTCCTGGGCACCTGGAGCCCTCTCTCTGAGTGGGCAGGGTCACCCCAACGTGTCCCCAGAAGTCCTCTCCCTGAGGGACGGCACCGCAGGGCCACTGACCAGCACTCACCGCACCCAGGTGCCAAGCAGGGTGCTGAGGGACGGCAGGAAGCCCCAGCCCCGCGTGACCGAGCAGGGCCTGCGTGAGGCCCCTGGCTTCCAGCCTCCTACCACGGGGCCCAGGGGCGGGCCTGCCTGGGCCGTGGCGGGTCGTGGCAGAGCCGGCTGCCGCTTCACCCTGGGCTCCAGCTCCTGGAGGCTAAGGGCGCTCTGAGAAGCTGAGCGCCTCTGACGTGTCCCCAAACCTAGGTCCCTCCCCCAGCAGGGCCAGCAGGGACCTGGAGGGGTGGGTGGGCTCAGGAGTCCGGGCTTTTACCAGGTCTCCGCCTCCCGGGTGTTTCTGGGCTGGGTGAGGAGGCGCAGTGCCCCACACCCACCCACGGCTGGGAGCCAGCGCCCCTCACGTGGGCAGGACCGGACACGGCAGGGTCTCCACGTGTCTGCCGGGGTGACAGGCAGGTGCAGGGAGTCTGGCATCATCCCAGTGAGTAAGGGCTTGCAGCCGGTGATGCCGGGGAGAGGTGAGCAGCCCGAATGTGCAGGGGCGGGACGGGACGGGTGTCCCTCTACACATGGGCAGGCCCTTAGGGTGGTGTCCTCTCAGACGGGCCAGGGTGCAGGACGCAGTCCAGTGCTGGTGGTGACTAGGTGACGTCCTCGCACCCGGACTGCTGAGACAGAACCGGCCAGCCTGGGGAAGTCCGTCTCAGCAAGTCCTCTGGCCTCAGTTTCCTATCTCGGGGCCCAGGGTTCGCCACCGCCGCCGGGCAGGCTGCTGTGTGGCAGATGGGGCACCGTGGGGGACTGGCCCTCGGGGGGCTGGGGCTGGGCGGGCTGGCGGCGGGGGCACCCACCGGTAGGTGCTGCAGGCTCGGTGCCCGTCGCAGGTGGTGAGGAAGGGCTGGTACACACGCTGCACGAAGGACTCGGAGACGGGGCGCTGGGGAGCCCCAACAGCACACACCCTGCGGCTGTGGGGGTGGGGCCGGAGGTCAGCCAGGGACCCCAAGGGAGCTGAGGACATGAGCCCACGGGGAACCCCTCAAGACCTGGGGCGGCCTTGGGGAGGGGCTGAGGGCTGTTGGCCGCACCCCCACCCCCAGCCCCCAGAGGCCCTCGCCCCGCTCACCCCGGCCCCGCTCACCCCGGCCGGTAGACGTGCTGGGTGCCGCCCGCTCCCAGCACCAGCAGCCACAGCAGAAGCAGGTCCCGGGAGCCCCACATGGCCTGTGTCTCCGGGGGGGACGGCCTTCTCCTCTGCGCACCCTGGGGCACACAGCACGGTCCTGTGAGCCCCCGAAGAGGCCCCTGCAGGCGCCTTCGTTGCAGCCTGTGCTCGGTGCACGATGCCTGCCCAGCTTAGCACTTTTGAGGGGAGCCCCACCGGCCGTGCCAGCTCCCCCCACCCTCAGGCCCACCTCTTCCAGCTAGGCCGGCCCCTCACCAGCCACAGACAGCCGGGCCTGGGGGCTGCGGAAAGGGATACCCTACAGAGCGCTTGGGGCAGGAACCATCTGGACCCTGCCAGGCTTGGTCTGGGACACCCAAGGGCGCCTGAGGCTCCAGGAAAGGTGACTCCAGGAAGGTGGGCCCAGGTCTGCATCTGGGCCGTTCCTCCCTCCCCGCTGGTCTCGGTGCCCCCCTTGTCACAGCAGGGAGGGGTGAGCTTGCCCCTCTCAGTCTGTGGACGGGTGTCAGTGGGCAGAGCTGGAGCCCGAGGGCGGCTGTGGGGTCCCATCGGGGTGCAGGTGCCTGGCATGTGAGCAGGTGCTCGACAGGAAGGAGCTGCTGTGGGGTGTGCACATTCAGAGATCCCCAGAGAGGGGTGGCACACATTTAAGAGGGGGTCACTCCCAGGCTGGCATAAGTGTCAAGTAGCCCAGAGCTCCCAGGGCAGAGGCCCCACCGGGGCCAATGAGGCAGCCAGTTGACGGACCACTGGAGCTGGTGTCCGACCCCCTTCCAGCTGCGAGTGGGAGGCAGGGAGCTGGGTGAGGCTTCCTGGGAGTATGAGAGACTCCAACCCAGACTTAATGGTCTGTGAAGGGACTGGGGGGGGGTGGCATAGGTCCCATCCTGTGTGCAGCCAGAGGTCCAGGAAGCTAAGGATCTCCCCACCGTGCACGGGGGGCCCCACCCAAGGCCTCTCGTGGGTGCTCCCAAAAGGGTCAGGCTCCTCCCAGGTGGCTGCCCGGCCCTGGGGAGTCCTCAGCAGGAAAGGGCCAGGAGACAGGGGAGGTGGAGCTTGGGGTAAGGCTGTCTGTCCACTTGTCTGGGACTCTTTCCTCAGACACCACTAGGGTCTCCAAAGCCTGTCTGGTTCTGACAGTCCGTCCCACGGACAGTGACACCCACAAGGGGTTACTGGACCTTCCTCCTGGCTGAGCCCCACCCCGTGGGGAGAGCAATGCCATGTCCGCTTTGCACAGCAGTCACTGGGCAGTCCCTGAGCTGGGGCCCGGCCATGCTCTGGCTACTGCAGGGTAGGGAAGGCAGCTGGGGGAGGGGCCTTCCACACCTGTCCCCCATGGGCTGGAGAGGAAGGGAGGGCAGGGCCCTGGCCAGCTCAGGTGTTGGGACTTCTTTTGGGGGCAGGGGGCCATCCCAGCAGTTTCTGGGCAGGGGCCCATCCTGCTAGTCAGAGTTGGTGGGGACGATTAACTCTGGGGGGTGGGCCTTGCCAGGAAGGAAGAGTGGGGGGGCAGGGTGCCAGAGCTCCACAGCCCCCGTGCCCGGCCCTGGGCCTTGGGAGCCCGGTCTCCCCGGGGAGGATGTCACTACCCCCCACGGCGGCCGTGCAGAGCGCCTCCGTGACTGCGGGAAGCTGTCTGGAGAGGGAACCGCGGTGAAGAGGAGACACTCAATTTTTGAAAGTCATGCTTTTCCCCAAGGCCGAGGCGGCCTGGCGCTGCCACGCCGGCTCCGGCGAACCTCGCCGCCTCCGGTTCACAGCGGGCCGGCGGGAGCGGCGCTGGGGGCGGCCCGCGCGCAGGCCGAGAGCTGCAGTGTCCCGGTCCCCGCCGGCGTGACGCGGGCCCTGCCCGCACCTGCCGCCCACCTGCCGGGCCGCAGCCCCCGCCGGGGAGGGCGACACCGACGCCAGCCAGCGCGGGGCTGCCCCGACCCTCCCACCGGGCGGCGCTCCGGGCGGCGGGGCCCGCGGGGGCGGGCGCAGGGGGGCAAGCCCGACGACCATCCCGCGCGGCCCGGGGCGGGGGGGGCGCAGCGCGACCCCCGGGCGGCCGCCGGCTGCGCCGCAGGGTCGGGCGGGAGCGGTCGGCGGGGAGCCGCGCCGCCGGCCCGGCAGGGGAGCCGTCTCCCAGGCCCCGGCCCATTCTCCGGACCGGCCGCCGCGGCCGCCCGGGCGGGGGTCACGCGTGCAGGCCGCGCGGCCCTCCGCGCGCCCGGCCCGCGCTCCTCCCGGTCCCTGCGGTCGCTTTGCGTCGCCCGGCGGCAGCCCCCAGTTCCGCGACAGCAGGGTCACCCTCTCCGTCCCTCGGGTTCGAGGGTCCCGCCCCCGCCCCCAGCCCGGCGGCCGGCAGACCCCCGCCCGGCGCCCTCCTCCGCGCCCCCGGCCCGGCGCCCGGCTGCCTCCGCACTCACCGCCGATCCGGGCGCGCACGCGCCGCGCGGCCGCAGCGCGAGCCGCGCCGTGGGGGCCCGAGCCCGCCCGCCCCGCCCCCGGCCCCACCTGGCGCCCCGCAGGAGCCCCGCCCCCACCCCGGGTGGGCTCGCCGGCCCCCATGAGCAAGAGGCACAGCCCGTCCCGCCCCACCCCGCCCCCATTGCGCAGATGGGGAAACTGAGGCCCCGTGGCGGGCGGGCTCCCCGCCAGGCCGGGCAGTGAGTCAGCTAGAACTCGGGGTTGACGCAAACCCGCCTCGGAGCCCGCATCCCCAGCCCGCTCTGCGAATGGTGAATCCCTGGGTCCTCCCTGAGCCCCCGCACAGGGCGCGCGCGCGGGACCCAGGACTGAGCCAGGCTGCCAGGAGCCAGGAGGCCGCCTGGGGCGCTCACGCCGACGGGGGGCCGGGGTTCGATGAGGACCCCTTTGCTAGCTGAGCCTGTGAAAGCCTCTAACCGCCAGCGCGCTAGGTGCCAGGCGCCGGGCTAGAGCTGACCTCTGCCCGCAGTTACGGGGCGGGCACCATGGCCCTCCCAGGCCCAGAGACCCACTACTCACCGGGGACCACACGGCAGAGCCCAGACAGGCCCCAGGGGCGACACGGAACCTCCCTCTAACATGGCACGTAGGTTGGGGTGCCGGCCCCAGTCCCACCTGCATTCCCTCAGGCAGGGGCACCCCCACCGTGGTCTCTGCGCCACTGCTCTGTTCAAGACAGAGCGCTCCTCCGGGTGAATGCACAGGCCCCCAGGGGGTCCCCTCATGCCCACTCCCAGAGGTCCCTGGGCTGGTCACCTCTCCTCTCCCGTTTCCAAATTTATAACCAGAGGCCCAAGCAGCCCTGGGGACTCTGGTACCCATAAGCCGTTTCCCGCCAACCCAAGCCCAGCCCAGGGCGCTGCCCGGGTCACACGTGCTCTGTCCCCAGGCCACCCAGGGCACCCAGACTGCTGGGACTCACCTGGCAAGGGGGAGCTCGTCATCCCCTGGACACTGGTGGCGGCTGCTGCTCTGGGTGGTGGGGGCCTCCTGTGCCCCCCCTGTGCCTGGGGCTGCGGGTCAGAGACGGGAGGGCGTCGGTGCCTCGGCAGAGTCTCGGGCACCGTGACGTCTAGGCACTGGGAAGGTGACGAGGGTCCAGCCTTCCATCCTGCTGCGGGACCTCAGCCCGCACTGGGCCTGCAGACCCCGTCCTGCCCCCTCACCCGGTCGCTTCCCAAGTGGAGCCGGCCTCAGTCCCAGTCTGCAAAATGGGGCCGGCTCCAGCCCTGGGCTCCCCGGAGCTGAGGTAGGTCACAGGAGGTAGGTGACAGGGGTGTGAGCCCCACGAGTGGAGCTGAAGGTCCCCTACATAGCCCTGGTGCCTGGTGAGGGGCCTGTGGACTAGCAGGGAAGGGCTGGCAACTTGGGCCTGCCTTGGTGCGCGGAGCTGAAGGAAAGGAGGGGTCCGGTGCCTGGAGAGGAACCCCCCCGTTCTTGGTCCTTTCCCAGATCAGGGGGCCCTAGGAGCTCCCGGCAGGTGGGTCTGAGGGGCCGCTAGGGCAGCTGCTGTCTCGATGTCCGTAATTGCGAGTGGGGGGTTCCTAGGTTTCGTGACCCCCTGAGCCCAAGCAGCTCTCACTCGGCCCTGGGCAGTAAAGAGTTAAGAGTGGGGCCTAGGGGACTCTAGATGTGAGAGCCCCTGTGGTCACTTGACCCTTTGACCTGCCCGTCTCCCCCTGCCTGAGGCAGGCAGAGGCGTGGGCAGACGGGGTGCTCTGCCCCAAGCTGGGAGGGCCTCACCTTCTGCCCTGTCACCTGAACATGGGCATTCTTCTCGGGTGGGCTCCTTGGGAGGCATGCGTGGGTGTATGTTGCAAAAGGTGCGGCCCCTGGGACCCCTGTGGCTTTGGGAGCTTTGAGAGGGGACTTCAGCTGCTCTGGAGGGCTTCCCCAGGGTCCCAGGTGGGCCGGAGAAGTGGCCCACTTGTCCACACAACAGCCCACCGAGATGTCCCCAAGGCCTGAGCCCCTGGGACCAGCCGCACAGGAGACTGGGCTCCTCCTAGCACAGTTCCTCCCCCACGGCTGGTCCCTGGCCAAACCCCTCGCTACATCCCCCAGCCCTGGGGACGGCCGGGGTCCCCACAGAGGAGTGAGGGGCGCCCGGCCCCACCCAGTGGGCCCAGCCGAGCTGAACTTTGCTGCCAAGCGGGGCTCCCTGGGGAAGCCGGGCCAGGTGGTACGGGCTCCAGGGGCAGGGCCAGGCTGCCTTGGCTTCTCCTTCCAGGGATCTCGGGGCCCTGGGCAGCCAGGGGTGAAGTGTGGGTGTCAGGCAGACTGGATTGGGACCTAGACTGGGCCACCGGCCAGGCACGGCGTGGCCAAGGGACTCTCGTGGCTTCTCTGTGCAGCAGCAAAGACACGGGTGGGAAGAGCCCATGAGTCGCCTGCCTGCTGGGAGCCCACTCTGCCTGCTCCCTGCCCCTCCGAGCCACCCTGCCATACCTGATGCTGCCGGGGCTTGGCCATGGCCACGGCCACCACTGCTGCCTCTGCAGGCTGGGGACAGACCCTGCCCCTCGCTGGGGCCTCTGGGCCCACTGGCTGCCCCGGGGCACCTCCCGGGGCCCACCCGCCTGGCCGCCGCTGGAGCCTCCCTCTGGCCGCCAGGGCAGCTGGCGAGGTGTGGGAGGCCCGACCGGGCGAGGAAGGGCGGCTTTTTATGCTCCATCCGAGTCAATCGGGATTGGGATGGGCCCTTCCCAGCCGGACTTCCTGTGTGTGTTCTCTGCTGATAACGGGGGTCTGTCAGCGCACAAACAGGAGGCTGGGGGTGGGGGGAGGCGCCACGTGAGGGGCCTGGCCGTGCTGCCGGGGGAGGGGGAAGCTGTCCCCAAGGACTTCTGCGTCTCGCCCCAAAGCAGCCAGTGACCAGGCTTGGGCTCAGCTACAGCCTGGCTGGTAACCCTGGGGATAGTGAGGGACAGAGAACGGGGAGCCTAGGGCCTTCCCAGTGCCAGAGGGGGCAGAGCCATGGGACTACAGGCCATACTTGTGCGGCTAGACAGAAGGGACCTTCTGCGTCTCTGGGCCACAGGGTGCTGGCCCCTCCCGAGGCCACCCCAGATGTGGGTAGTGCAGCATGGAGGCCCCTAGGGGCTCCAGCCCAAGGGAGGGACCTGCTACACTAGAGCCTTGGCCTGTGGGGGCCGGGAGTGGCAGGACCCAGCTGGAAGGGAACCGGGTGGGCAAGACAGGCTGGGTGGTCTGCAGGTCCCTGAGGCCCAGGGGTGCCCTTCAGGCTCCTCCCTTGGCCTCCACGGAGGGGATGGGGTGGTGGTGGGAGGGATTCAGGAACCTTTGGGGCCAAAGGGGGTGCTCCATCAGATTCTTGGGTCCCGGCTCCCAGTCTGACCCACAGCCTCCCGGTTTAGGGGGCAGTGGGTGGGCAGGGCCAAGGACGGGGGGTGGGGAGGCAGGCCACAGCTGGCCACGGGCACCCGAGTGAGCAGGGCCTCACCCAACCCCGGCTCTCCTTGGGTCCAGGCCCTGCTCTGGGGTCAGCCTCTGTCTACCCGATGCCTGGGACACCCTTGTGCCCTGGCCCTGAGCCGTCATGGCGAGCCCCGCCTCCTCTGGCCCCACCCAGCTGCTCGACTAGGCCGAGGGGGGCCGGGGCGGTGTGGGAAATCCCCACGGGGCCTGAGGGAGCCCCAGGGAACCCGCACCCTGTTCTCTCCCACTCGCAAGGCCAGGGCAGGGGTCGCTGCAAGCGCCACTTATGATGGTGCCTCTCCTCTTCTCTGGGCCTCAGTTTCCCTACCTGTTCCATGGCTGTCATGATGGCACCAGGCGTTGTGGGTCTTGTAGGGGGGGTCTGGGGGGCCTCTTTCTGGAGGCCCCTGCCCTGAGGTTGGAGCTGACAGGCAGAGGCCCCCTTCCCCCCATCTCTCCTGTCCTAGCCCACCCTGGGGTCCAGCCCTCACCCCCAAGGCCACACCCTCAGCACCCCGTGCCTCATGGGACTCTGCTCCCCAACTCAAGGGCTCACCTGCCCAGGACTGGGCTGTCCCTCCAGGTGCCTGGGCCAGGTTGGGCTTGGGCCCCATCTCAGGGGGTGCCCCTCTGCACACAGCACTGGGGCCTGTCCCTCTCCTCCCCAGCCCCCACACCTAGGGATCTGCTCTGGCCCCCTGCATGGAAGGACCAGCCCCTTGGTGTAAAGGGGGAAACTGAGGCCCAGAGAGGGAAGAGACCTGGTCCAGTGAGCAGAGAAGCAGGGAGGGGTCAGCACAGGAACGGCCACCTCACTCTCTTCCTATCTTTTCTCAGCGAGCCCCCAACTCCTCCCATGTTTCCCCAACCTGGGGCAGCTCCCGCCATCAGACCTGTCCCTGCCAGGGCGTGGCTGAGGGTTGGGAATAGCCAATAGCCAAGCACACAGTGGGCCAGTGGGTGTGCCGCACTGGCTCCCGGGTGCCCGCATGGGGGCCTTGCCCAGCCTGCTGCCCACTTGTTCTCTGCCCTGCCCCGGCCCCTCCCTGGGCCAAGGGCAGACCCTCCTTGGCTCGGGGCCCCAAAGCACCGGCCTCACCTGCGCCTGGAACCCCGCCAAGAGGCAGGTGCAGGTGGGCTGGGGTCTTGCCTTACTGCCGGGGCACACCGGGGACAGGAGGGGTCGGGGCTGTCAGAGGACAGGGACACCCTCTTGGAGTCTGGAGGATACCGGGTCTTGGGGGTTAGGGGTCTTCAGTCTCCTGGTTCTACTGTGGGTGGAGCTTGCTCTGTGCTCAGGCCCGAGGGGACTTGAAAAAGGGTGGGCCGGGTCCTCCCTCCCGCCCCATCTTGAAGGTGCACCCCCCACCAGGTAGCCCCTCCCCCCCCAGAGTGCCTGTAGCATCACGGAACACACCTCCAGTAGGGAAGCCTTTCTGGAATTGTCTGTGGTGCCCCCTACCCAGGCCCACGCCCCCACCGAGGGCAGGCCAGGAGGCCTGGGGGACCCAGTGCGGTTGGTCAGCCCCCCCCAGGCCTCAAAGCCGGTCCTCACCTGGGCCGCTTTGCAGCCTGGAGCTGGGAGCCTGGCCCACGAACGTCAGGGGTGGTGTGTGGGGCACAGGCCCCAGCTGGGGTCGGGAAGCTGGAGTTCTTTCTGGTCTCAGCTTCGTGCCCCGCACCGGGCCTCAGTTTCCCCATATGCCCGGTGGCCAGTAGGGCTAGATTGTCACAGCTGCCTCTGCCTGACCTGTTAGTGCTCTTACGTTAATGGTGAAGGGGCCGCGGCTGCCTTACCTTCCCAGCGCAGCTGGCCGGCGGTGAGTGGAGGCTGGGGTCGCCCTCCTCGGACCCTCGCCCGCGTGCTTTGGCCTCTGCAGCCCCAGGCGAGGGCACACGCGGCGCCCGGTGGAGGCGGCACGGCCGTGAGCGCTGCAGGAAGGAGGGACCAGAGCACAGGGCAGGGAGAGATGGGGCTTCCTGTTTATCCCCGGCCTGGCCGGCTGGCCTGGAGCGCAGGATGGCCCTGTCCGCGCAGCTGGGCCCAGCTCCGTGCTAGATGCGGCTGAACCTTCCCATCAGAGCGTGTGCGGGCCCGGTGGCCTGTCCCTGGTGGGGGCTGCGAGGGAGGGAGCCGGGCCGGGGTGCCCCGCGGCCGGACGAGCCACCTGCTCCCGCACCGGGCAGCCCCACGGGGAGCGAGAGGTTTGCATGGCGGGGAACGGGGGTCTTCCGCTCTCCTGCCCCTCCCCCGATCCCTGCATCCCTGCGTGTAAATGCCTGGTGTCCGCCCCTCTGAGTTGAGAACTTTCCATGTCAGGGGAGCAGGCCGAAGCTCACAGGTGGAAGCCACCGTGCAAGACCACCTGCTGGGAAATGGAGACTCTGGACATGGAACCCAGGGGAGCCAAGCTTCGGGGGTGCTTGGGGGCCCTTTCACCCCTTTCCAGCTGCTCCCCGGCCCTTCTTCCTGGGGACCACCCGTCACTGAGCCGCAGACCTGGGAGGTTTCCTGCCCGGGTGGCACAACCACCCTTTGTCAGTCTGGCTGGGTGCCCCTGCCCTTGTGCCCAGTGCTCCGGGGGCTTCACGAAGGGTGACCCGCTGCGCTCCGCTCCGCAAAAATCCCAGCCTCTCCCCGAGTACCAGTTCCTCGGCGCAGGGGCCTACCCAGAACCTGGGGCAGAGCCGGCACTCGGCAGGTGCACAAGAGGCGCCGTCTCCCGCCCAGCTCGAGTGTCACCCAGGGGCGGCCGGGCACACGTGCACTGCAGCGAGACGTCGGCCCGGCCGTGAGTGCGCAGGAAGCGAGCCCGCGTGTGCCCAGCTGGTCTCCAGGGCCCCCGCAATGCACAGCGCTGGGCCACCCCACTCCCTCGTCAGCACCTGCTACTGTCTGTCTGGTTCATTTTAGCCATTCCAATGATTCTGCAGTGGTTTTGCTGTCATATATATATGTATATATATATATAGTTTTTTTTGGAGACAGAGTCTCACTTTGTTGCCCAGGCTAGAGTGAGTGCCGTGGCGTCAGCCTTGCTCACAGCAACCTCAATCTCCTGGGCTCAAGCGATCCTCCTGCCTCAGCCTCCCGAGTAGCTGGGACTACAGGCATGCGCCACCATGCCCGGCTAATTTTTTCTATATATATTAGTTGGCCAATTAATTTCTTTCTATTTATAGTAGAGACGGGGTCTCGCTCTTGCTCAGGCTGGTTTCGAACTCCTGACCTCGAGCAATCCGCTCGCCTCGGCCTCCCAGAGTGCTAGGATTACAGGCGTGAGCCACCGCGCCCAGCCTGCTGTCTTATATTTTTATTTTTATTTTTTTGGTGTAAGGAGCTAAAGAAAAGCATATTTCTTAAAAAAAAATTTTTTTTTCAGGAAATTATGGGGGTACAGACATTTTGGTTACATGCTATGGCTTTGCCACCTCCCAACCATGATTTGAGACGCGCCCTTCTCCCCCTACACCCCTCACCACGTGCACGAGCTGTGAGTTTACGCACCCCCAAGCCCTGCCCCAAGGAACGTCACTGCCGAGTGAGCAGCTCAGCGTTGGTCAGTCAGCGCCCGTGTGATGGCGAGTGCACGTGGCGCCTGTTCCTCCATCCTTGTGGACACCTCGCTTCGGAGCATGGGCTCGGGCTCCACCCAGAAGAATGTAAGAAGTGCCAGAAAAACGTATTTTTTGAGCAACGGAATTCCTGCCCAGGGAAAGGGAGGCTCGCTTCACAGGGCAGACACCCGGGGAGGTCCAGGCTCGGGCGTGGGGCCTCGGGAGGCAGGGCTGGGTCGGGCACTGCGGGAGGGTGTCGTCGGGGTGGGAAGAGAGAGTGAAGAGGCCGCCCACTGGGGACTGAACTTGGGGTCCCCAGATGCCACTGGGTCCTCCCTGGAAGCTCCCAGAGTCGGGCGCCGTGGCCGGGCGGGTCCCTGCACACGCCTTGCTGAGCAGAGCGAGCCCGGGACGGGCGCGAGGCCCCACCCAGCGCCGCACCCTCGGGGCCCCTGCCCCACGGCGGGGGCTTGTCCCAGGCCGGGCTTCGGGACCCAGGCTCCTCTGGGCCCCAGAGCCCGCTTCCCGCCCCTGCTGCATTTCCTGCGGGGCCGCCCCCTGCCCTGCACGGAAGCCCCGCTCCGCTCCGTGGGCAACAGTTTGCCAAGCCCTGGGACGGATGGGGCCGCCGTTAGCACCGAGGGGAAAAAACACTTTATCTCCCGGGGCGGAAAGGGAAGTTCCTGAGAACTCTGGGCCGGGTGGCAGGTTCCTGGAGGTGGCAGCCCAGCCCCCACCTGGAGCCGTCCTGTCCCCTCCCGCCCAGAGGAACCGCTGAGGCCTGCTGAGCAACGTGCTGCATCAGGGTCCCCTCGTGGCTGTCACCCCGGCCCTGCAAAGGGGAGGCCAGGACCTAACACCGTTTATGGAGCCCCAAGGGAACAGCCACAGAGCCTGCCGCCCGCAGGGCCTGGGCTTGAACGAGAGCCACCAAGTGTGCTCGGCCTCGGCCTGGTGACTGCCCATTTGCCCAGCGGTCAGTGGTGGCCGCCGGCTTCTGGGAGGGGTGTGGGCGTCCCTCCCGGGGGGAGCTCGTGCACGGCTGCCCATCAGTCTCTGCTGCGGGGTTGTCCTGGGCTCTAGGGAGGTCAGGAGGAGGAGGTGCTCTGCAGGCCTCTCTGCCTCAGTTTCCCCATGTGTTGGGTCAGGGCACAGAGGGTCTAGGGAGTCCTGGGATGGATGCAGGGGGTCTCCACATCCCCAGTCATGGTGGGGGCCCTGGGCCTCTGCGCCTGCCACTCACACGCGTCAGCCCCAAGGTTGCCGCTATTGTTGTTACTGTATTTTTTAATAACTGTAGAAAATGTAAAGAGAGAAAGGGAAAAGAAAAAAAAGCATTTGCCTGGCCCGGCCAGAAATCTCTGTTTCCTCTCCGCCAGGAAACAGGAAGTGAGTGTGCAGGGAGATTGGGGACCAGCCCTGGAGAACAATGGGCCCCCAGCCCTGGGGAAGGGGAACTGCGTCAGGGGTCGGCAGGAAGCCGGCCTCCCCCTCCCCACCGGTGGGGAGGGGGCCGAGGAATAAATTTAGTCTCTGTTCCTGATGAAAGGCCCCCGTGCCCCATTGTTGAGGGGCAAGTCTGACCTAGGCCCCTGGGGGTCAGGGTTGTGGGGACTAAGTGTGGCCTCCCTTCAGTATAAGATGAGGCCCGGAGCGGGGAGAGCACTGCCAGGGGCACTTGTGGTGCTAGGGTTTGGACCCCTTCTTAGGGCTGAGCTGTACAGCCAAGGTAGTGTGGTGCCAGGAGGCCAGCTGAGCCCAAGCACCCCGCATGTGGCCAGAGAAACTACCCTACACTTACCCCAGGCAGTGTGAGCTAAACTTAACCCTACCCTAACCCTAACGCTAACCCTACCATGTCTATAATGCTACTGAAACCCTAACCCTACCCTAACCCCCATGTGCCCTGAGTAACTCCAGCAAGGGTCTTCTTACCTGGGCAGTGTGAGCTAAACTTAACCCTACCCTAACCGTAACGCTAAACCTACCCCTAACATATCCATAACCCTCCTGGAACCCTGACCCATCCCTAACCATAACCTAACCCTAACCCTACCCTAACCCTAACCTTAACCCCCCATGTGCCCTGAGTAACTCCAGCAAGCATCTTACCCCAGGCAGTATGAGCTAACCCTAACCCTCACCCCAAACCCTCACCCCTAACAATCACCCTAACCCTAACCCTAACCCTAACCCTCACCCTAACCCTAACCCTAACCCTCACCCCTAACACTCACCCCTAACCCTCACCCTAACCCTAACCCTCACCCTAACCCTAACCCTCACCCCTAACCCTCACCCCTAACCCTCACCCTAACCCTAACCCTCACCCTAACCCTAACCCTCACCCCTAACCCTCAACCTAACCCTAACCCTCACCCTAACCCTAACCCTCACCCCTAACCCTCACCCTAACCCTAACCCTCACCCTAACCCTAACCCTCACCCCTAATCCTAACCCTCACCCTAACCCTCACCCCTAACCCTAACACTCACCCCTAACCCTCACCCTAACCCTAACCCTCACCCCTAACCCTAACCCTCACCCTAACCCTCACCCCTAACCCTAACCCTCACCCTAACCCTCACCCCTAACCCTCACCCTAACCCTCACCCCTAACCCTCACCCTAACCCTCACCCTAACCCTCACCCTAACCCTTGCAGGGCTTTCCCATGTCACCCTGGGGCTGACCCTGGCCTTGGCCGGGAGGAGCCGGGCGGGGAGATGTTTCTCACGGGCAGTGTTGCAGAGATGCGAGTCAGGAGCACACACACCCACGGATCGTGCGCAGCCCCACGGCGTCGGTGCAGCCGCAGAGGGGGTGACCGTCTCCTCTGCTGGTTTTAAAACATTTCATCACCTGGAATGAAATCCCTTTAGCCGTCACCCTCTGTCACCCCTGGCAACCGCTAGTCCGTGGCCTGTCCCTGTGGATTGGCCCGATGTGGATATTCCGTATAAACGGGCTGCGCACACGCGGACGTCTGGGAGCGCCGTGCCAGGCCTCAGCGTGTGGCCGCGGCGTGTGGCAGCCTCACTGCCGTGTGTGGCTGACACTACCCACCGCGCCGCGGACCACGGTTCGCTTCTCCACCCGCCCACCGCGGGCGTCTGGGGTGCTCCACCTTTCCGCCGTTGTGAATAACGCTGCTGCGAACTGCGGGACACGCGTTGTGTGGATCAACTGTCTCTGTGCACACAGTGTCTCTGTGGACACACGTGCTGTGCGCACACACGTGTCTTGTGGACACGGACGTAGCCTGTGGACACACGTTGCCTGTGCCGGCAAACGTGTCTGGTGTGGACATGTGCCCGTGTGTCTGGCACACGTG